AAAGTCCCACCTCTCATGCACGAGGGCGCGGGTTCGATCCTGACAAGTACCAATGTGATTTTTCCGAGGCATATGTACTTTCTTAGAGTGTTTAGACATCACTGATTTGAGCATTCCCAAGAAGGTTGATGTTAGGCAGGCGGCCGGTCGTAAAAACAATTAGCCAAAACTATTCAGAATATGTAAGGCAGACCCTGGCTAAAGCTGGGAAATTGCCAGGTAGAAGAAGATAATGTATAACTTAAATTTCTAATATAAAAAGTAAAAATAACTGGTCGCAGCGAGTCTATAGTCCCACAGGATATAATAAATCAATATAAAACTATTGGACTAAGCGACTCTGGCCGATGAAATAATACATACACACAGACACACATACACTTTTTATTATCATAATAGTGTCTTTAAATGTAACATAGCAATATGAGATGAAAAAAAAAATGGCATTAATTGCATCTGGTTTAGTCAAATAATTCAACCTTCTTAAATGAAAATATTTCTTTGAGAAACTTCATTACAAAAGACACCTCTCTTAGACATCAATAATAACTGTGTAACATTTATCAACATATAATTAGTTCTGGAGCTATTTATAAACTAACTGATCGACGTACATACATATGAATGAAGAGTTATTCACATTCCATTGGTATTATATACAAAAGATGAAATATTAATGAGTTTCGGAGATAAATCTTCGACGAACACACAAACACTGTTAATTAACTATTTTTATTGTACTAATTGGTCCTTAGAAGCTTTGTGTTTGTACATTTCTCTTATCTTTTCTTCGACAGATATCTTTATTTATCTTTTATTTCTTAGATTTTATACATGATACTTGTATACGCTTGTTCTTTCTAAGAATCATTCTTTAATTCCCGAATATCCTGCTTAATGTACTACATACAGCTGTAAATGTATTAGTTTGTGATTATTTACATTAAGCCTACTAAAAATCTATTTAGTCGCTATGGAGTAAGATAAAATTGCTACGAAGCAAAATCTTCTTTTTTGTGTAAAGAATATAGTGACCATTGAAAAAATACTGTGAGAAACTCCTAAAAGAAGTCTAATATAATACAAAAAGTCAATACTTTATGCAAAATATATATCAGTGTATTATAATTGAATCATCTAATATATAAAATTCTCGTGTCACAGTTTTCGTGCCCATACTCCTCCGAAACAACCTGACCGATTTTGATGAAATTTTTTGTGCTTATTCGGTAGCTATGAGAATCGGCCAACATCTATTTTTCATCCCCCTAAATGTTAGGGGTAGTCCACCCCTAAATTTCTTTTTTTTATTTTTTAGACAAAATTTTTAATTACTATTTTTTTATGATACAACGTACAAAAATACATACAATCCTAAATTTTCACCCTTCTACGATCAACCCTTATTTTTTAATAGCTATTTTAGTAATTTAATCATTTTTCATCTCCGGTCGATAACTGATCAATCGTCATTTAATAAGTTATCCCCGCCAGATATCTACAGGTGTCACTTCTGACCCAGTAAACAGCACGGAGTAGGGATGAGAACAAAGCCGGTCTTCTGTTTCTCTCACACAATTAGACTTCTCTCACTCCCTACACAGTTGTCGGCCATCGTTATTGTTTGTGCATCAAGTGTAGTAGTAACGTTGACAATTATTATTTTGCTAGCTCAGTGTAACTCTCATATTAACTATTAATCATTCCTAATCACTTCAAAACACGGAGATTTATGGCTTTAATAGGTAAACTCCAAAAATATAAATAAAAAAACGTAACAGATATTTCTTGATTATAGGGCGAAACGAAGTTCGCCGGGTCTTCTATAATATATAAAAACTGCTTTAATTTACTGGTTCCATTATATATATTTTTTAATTTTTTCTTTGAATATTATTTCGTTATATGTCACTCAATTCCTAAAAGGCTGGACCGATTTGAATGAATTTTTTTACACACTTTTCGGTGGCTCCTCAAATGATTTAGATTCTCTAATCAGATCAACAGGTGACGCTTAAATCGGTATCAAAGTTGTTTAAAATAAAAAGCAGCAGCTCAGGTTACTACATGTACCTATTCTTTTAACATATTTTGTATATTGTTTTAAGTCTGATGTTCACGCAGGCGTAGTTGAAGCAAAAACTACTATATGCCAATATGTATATTATTCCTTTTACAGTATATTAATAAAATTAAATCAATTTTGCCAGATTATTACACATTTTTAAAATATCAATTAAGTACGAGATCTTTATTACTCTGATAAATTTTACATATATTTATCATTTAATACTCTTTAGAGCTTTATGTATGACGTCACTGAAATGAGATTGTTCGATGTACTTACATTAATATATATGTGTGTGTGTGTGTGTGTGTGTGTAATTTTATACATGATAACATTTATGCGTTTGACCAGATTTAATAAAATCATCATACATACATGTTGGCACATACAAAACAAATCCAACACGCCATCAACGACTTTATTTCATACGACATATAGTCTATAATCGTCTAATATATTATATCCATCGTGTATACTGTAAAGCCTGTCCGCACGTTGCTGCTCTATTAGATACAATTGTCCTGAGACTTCACATTCAACTAACACCATCATTACATATAAATCATTTTATAATACTTTGCTTAAATGTACGTACATGTGTGTGTGTGTGTGTGTGTGTGTGTGTGTGTGTGTGGGCGTGTGTGTGTGTGGATAATAAGATAAGCCATACAATAAATTATTTAAATGTTGAAAAACATTTTTAGTAACAGATATGTGGATTTTATACTATGAGTAAAATTAATCAAGATAATCGTAAATTTCTATGCCTAACATTGTAATTTGTAATATTATTTAAAATAAAAAACAAGACTCGAAAATTCTATCAGTATAAACCGATATTATCCGAAAATAAAAAAAAGTGCAAATTAAAATTGCAGCAACGAAAAAGCAAAGAAAACACGGACAATGTTCCGTTGCATGACGGAAAACCAGCGATGCGTTGCAATTCACAATCAATTTGCATATTTGTGAAGTTTCCTACATTTTGGTACATGACAATAAAATATACGAGGCAATGTTATATCATATAAATACGGAAGCACATTTGTATATATGTATTAATGATATATAAAAAAAACTAAAAAATAGTATATTTTAGTTAGGTGTTAATTTTAATAGATTTATAACTTAAATGAAATTAATAAGTAAGTATATATTGAGCTCTAAGACTTTCGCGAGTATTCATATTGTCATCAGCCTATCAGAGCCCACTGCTGAGCAAAGGCCTTTTTCTCACATGGAGAAGGTTGGTGATTTAAAACTTTTAATTTTGAAATTAAAAGTCCAGGTCTCCCCACGACGTTTTCCTTCACCAACTGTCAGTGCTATCTAAATACTCTTAGAAAGTACATATGACTCGGAAAAATCACATTGTCACTTGCCAGGATCGAACCCGCGCCCTCATCCATGAGAGGCGAACCTTTTAACCACTAGGCCACCACTGACTTAGTATTCATATAAATGAAACTAATATTTTTCGCATTACTACGCGTGCTTTATTTTTGTAAAGAACTACATACTCCCGACGTTTCGGTTACTTTTCATCAACCGTGATCAGTAGACGAGATGTGAAGTATACAGTTAATAAGTGTATAGTTCGACTGCTTCTATTTCAACATCAGTATCATATATCTAGGACTCTACTTAATACGCTCGCTACAATTTCTCCACAAAACCGCAGGATATATTTAGTATGTTGAGGTTTGCTTGCGACGAGGTGACAACATGCACTCATTAATATTTTAAAATAGCAATTACCCGCGACTTTGTCTGCGTATAAAAACTATACCAAAATTATGAAAAAAACTTAAGCGCCGTATGCTTTATTACATAGCTTCCAACCAATAAAAGTTCCGTCAAAATCGGTCAAGCCATTTCAGATATTACCTAGAACAAACAAAAATCATAAAAAATTGTATTTAGTTTATCAAATTTAATAGGTTGGGGAAAAAGAAATCTATTATTTTTTCGGTAGATGGCTGTAGTGATCGATATCTCGTAAATTATCGATCAAACTAATTTATGCTCGTTGTCAAGGTAACAGTTCCTACTAAAAGAATTCGTTTGCAGTTTTTTGTTTTGTCTATTCAGTTCTGAGTTAAAGAGAAGGATCAAGGGAAGAGTGTGAAAATCAATTGCTGGAGTTTTTCGCTAATAAGGACCAAGACTTTTATGAGAGAGGCATAATGAAGCTACCATTAAAATGGCAACAAATTATAGAACAAAATGGTGCATATTTGACCTAAATCGGACAATGCAAAACATGTTAAATAAAGTCTTGAAGTTCATGTAAAAATAATGGATTTCTTTTCCCCAACCTTATATATACATTCATATGGATAGAATAGGGTTATTTCAATATTACAAATAGACACTCTAATTTTATATACATATATACATATGTATATATATATATCACAATATCTGTTTGTAAGTAACATATGTACATATTATGAATCGTATAGGTTTTTTTCTTCAATATTTTCTCATAATACATATACCGCATCATCTCATCTGGTCTTGATATCAAACATCAATTAATGTATTCCATTAATCATCACCAATTAGTCCAAGTGGTCCTCTGGTCCGGTGGTCCGTCGGTCCGCCGGTCCGTCAGTCCGTATATTAATATCACACTACCTACATACAACTTTAATTATCCTTCAAGGATATTGCTATTCTAATTGTCTGTTGTATGCATCTGTAGCTCATAAACTGAACTAATCAAATACATCTCAGTTAATAAATAGGTTGTGCTCTAGATGTGTCAAAATATTGAAATTATTTCGCTAATATTACATATATTTAAACTTTATTAAATATTCCTTATATATATATATATATATATATAATTATTAGTACACCTCTTAATATTTTTCTCCTCTAATATAAGGTAATTTGTCATTTTTTATGAGCACCATACTGTCAGTCGATGGAAGAAGGATTTATATCAGGTTGTGATTTATGGATCACGTCACTACAGGCTCACTTCCTCTACGGAGATACAGTATCTAGTATGAAACAAGCAAACCCGCAGGAACGAACTATATAAAATAATTTACTGCTTCATTTTGATATAAAACAAAAAAATTCTCACCTTATATTAAAAGCTAATAATAACATGTTTTATATGTTAAAATATTTTTCTTTAATAAACTAATATATAAAATTTTCATGTCACAATGTTAGTTTATCGATTTTAACCTAATTTTATATACGTATTCAGTAGGTCTGAGAATTGGCTATTATCTATTTTTCATATTCCTAAATGATAAGGGTTGTCACTCCTAATTTTTGGATAATTTATAAATAATGTGGCATTAAAAAATACATATAACCCTAAATTTTTACCTTATATCAGCAACGGATCAGCTTGTAAATTATATAATTTACAAGTTTCGTAACAGATTCGTAAAATCACGTTCCGCGTGGCAAGTCTTCGCGTCATTGACTTAAGATAATTCGTTCAAATATCATATATATTTAATGAGTACAAACACACAGACAGATTACGTACATGTTGACTTATACTAGGTACATTATAATATATTAACATTCATCCAATATTGGATTTATTTGAAATTATAAACATATCTAATTTTAGTACTTAGTCAGTGGTGGCCTAGTGGTTAAAAGGCCCGCCTCTCATGCACGAGGGCGCGGGTTCGATCCTGGCTCTGACAAGTACCAGTTTGATTTTTCCGAGTCACATGTACTTTCTGAGAGTATTTAGACATCACTGATTAATGCATTCCCAAAGAGGGTTGATGTCAGGCACGCGGGGCGGTCATAAAAACAATTAGCCAAAACTATTCACAACATGTAAGGCAGACCCTGGCTAAAGCTAGAAAATTGTCAGGTAGAAGATCTAACTTTAGTACTAGTTCTCATCGTGTACTTAGATACCGACAGTTACGAGGTTTTTTACTAAACGTAATTTAAAGCGTCAGTTAAAATAAGTCATGCAGTAATAGAGTGACTAACCTTTACAGTTACCATAGAATACGTAATAATAATCACTATAAAGAAACAATAGCTATCCCTTATTTTAAATATGTATATAGAAAATGCGTTTCAATTAATTTTATAGACCAACAAAAAGAGAAACAATTTCTATGAATATTTCCTTATATCATAATAAAAAAAGTTATCTTATATTCACGACCGCTGAATAAACGATCACATGTATATACAATGTATTCCATATAATAAAAAGATTGTAGTGTACTCTTATGAGAGAATCATCTGAGTCAGCTGTTATAAACAACTTATATACCAATAACAACACAATATTATAATGATTTTAATGTTAAATCAATTTGAACTTTAAATACTATATACATAAAATGAAAATTCCATTGACAAGATAAGAGCCGGGAATTTTCGGAATTAAGATTTCAGTTCCTTTTCCAAATGAGCCATAGTGATTTAACTTAATTCCATGCATTTCTCTTTTTATATTCTCTACTAGTTTTTCCGCCCGCAGCTTCGCCAGCGTGGAGTTCGGTTATATCGCGTTTCCAAGAGAACCTTTCAAAAGTCTGGGATAAAAACTATCCTATGTTCTTTCTCAAGGTCAACTCTATGTCTGTACCAAATTTCATTAAAATCAGTTCAGTGGTTTAGGCGTAACAGACAGACAGACAGAGTTACTTTCGCATTTATAATATTAGAAGGGATTTTTGTTTAGCCACAATTTATGACGTTACGACCGATTTCACTTTTTCTTTTTTTATTGTATATTTTATTGTTAGGAGAAGGTTCTTACGTAAGAAAAAAAATCGAAAATTACTACAATATTTCACTTTTTTAATAAAATAATGTGTCACTGGCAGTAATATTCACGTAATTGTCATTAAAACAAATTTATATGCTCTTTGAAAATATGTCGGTCGGACTTTATCTATAGCCGGAGTTATAACAACAAAATACCATAATAATTCATTTAAAATTTCTTAGTGTACTTTTCATATTGATTTCATAGGATAACTAGAAGTGTGTAACAGATATTTCTTGATTATATACGAAGTTCGCCGGTCAGCTAGTAATATATACAGAACCAAAAAATTCAATCCATAGTTTCATATAAAGGGTTACCTTTATATAACAAAAAGTTACTTTAAAAGTTTACGGTCTTAATGCTCATGAATAACTTGAGTGTATTATTGAAGATATGGAAAAGTAATATTTTACATATATGAGCTGTTTTTCCGCGCCACATGCGTCACGTGACGGGCGCGTCACGTTAACGAGCTCACACCGTTAGTGTCAGTCTGTTTGTCACTCGTGTTATTAGTAAACAGTATATATTTAACGAAGCCCGTATGTCAGTAACGATGTTGATCTGGGAATCATTAACACAGTAATGATGTCATTATATCGTTTTACGATCGATATAAACATATTGGAATGATTTCCATTTATTGATGTAGAACATATATTTTTTTATAGAAGTTCACAGTATTGTAGTCCTTTCTATAAATCTTAAATTTAGATACTTTTTTCGTTATACAATTTTTTATATTTGATAACTGTTACTAAGTGTGTTAACTGTTTAGTTAAATAAATACGTTTTATAGGTAGAGTGTTAAGTTGAATTCGCTTCATTCTTAAAAACTTATTCTTTATTAAATATGTATTAAATTTAGTATAATTTAATTATTAAATTTGATTTTAATGTATAGAAAAAACAGTTTCAAAATAAAACAGCAAGTCAAAGTAAACTCGGCATCATTGAGTATTTGTTTTCGTTACCCCACGTTACCCGCCTTACCCCGTGTTACCCGCGTTACCCCCGTGTTACCCGCGTTACCCCACACACCTAGCAGGCAGTTCTCAAACGCCTTTGTGTTCCTCGCCTCGTATTACCGGCTTTTCTGATAGCGCGTTATTAAATTTGCTCTCAGGTAGATTTGATTCCGAAAGGGAATAATACATTGCTTTTGTGTTATAACATTTTATAAACAGCCAACTATTTCTTGTATACTCGTATGAATCCGAAATTTCCTTTTCTTATTTTTCGTTGACCTAAAAATAATTTTATATTGAGAGTGCAATTCTTTAAATGATTTGATTCAAATAGTTTAATTAACGAATACATTATAGACTAATCTGATGGAAGTTTTTTAAGTTAAACTATTATAACATCTTTATTATTTGTCTATCTATCGCATGTCGCATTACAGCTGGACGTGATGCAGGAAGACCGTAACATTAATATTTCATTAACAAGTGCAATACTTATAAATTATTATTAAGGTATTATCTTTTCAATGAGTTTCACTTAATTCGTGTATAAAATACTTTATTTAATCAAACCTTTAATCGTTCGTATACTTCCAAAACGTTTCAACATCCCTTCAAATCTTAATCTCAATCAAACTCTCTATAATAATGCTGATATATCTGTCACGTTGTGTACATTATCAGTTTATTATAACGATGGGTTCCCATGAAGTTGACGCGCATATGACAATAGATGGCGCTAGGAGAATTATCTCTATATACAATTTAATACACAAAAAAATAAGTGTATACTGTTAAAAATAGGTTTTAAACCCGTTTGATTAACAGTATTCTCAAAAAAATACTTTTTATGAAATATATTTAAGTGTTTATCTTTATTCTAAACTACTAAATTTTGTATAAATTTATTACGAGATTATACTTCATTATTATATAAAAAAATATTTTTTTCATATCAACAGTCTCTAAAGACAAATAGAATTTAAGATTTACTATCAATATTAAAACATTTTTTCAAAAATATTCAAATATGATCCTCTGAAAAACAAAGAGGGAATATTCAGGCAGCTATCCAGTGTATATGAAATAGGTTCTTATTGTTATAGCAATAAGGTTGATAGTCGTATGTTATGTACATATCAGATCTCATTGCTAATTCAGCCACACTTAGTAGGTAACGAAGTACGACGCTCACACTTTGTACTTAATGCTTAGTTTAACGATAAATATTATATGTGAAGGGTATCAGAACATGTTTAGAGAATGTTTTATTAATGTTAAAATAATATTATTATTATATATAATGATGGAAATATATAATCTTAATATATAAAAGAAATTCGTGTTAGTTACACTATTTATAACTCAAAAAAGACTGTGGGATATGATTGAAAATTGGTGGAGTAATATTGGAACTACGAAAAGGAAATAGGATACTTTTCTTTCGATTGAAAAGAAATATGTATAAGTTGATCAACTTTTTTTTCTACTTTCTTTAAGGAAGAGTAAAGTTCGTCCCGTCTATACTTATTACTAATTCTGAAACTAACGCAGACGAAGTCGCGGGCGAAAACTAGTTGCATATAATTTTATAAGAATTATTCAGGCTTTAGAGTTTATCTATATACTAAAAACACAATTATAACAGTTTTAATGTTCTTAGAATGTCTTATCTAGAAAATTTAAAACATTTGTATATATTATGTACAAATGAAGTTTGCAATATTTCTTGTATCTGTTAAATTATCTCCTTTTACTAATATTTTTCACCTCCACCGTCCAAGTTCTTCTCCCTACCTAACCAAATTTTAAAAGAACCTACTAGGGCTGCCTTCGACGTACGTTCCAAGAATGAATTATCCATTCTTATTAATAAAAAAAATCTCTCTAATTTATTAATGTATGAGTTTTATTATAAATAATCTTAATGATATTTGTATTGACATAAATATTGTTATATATGTAGTACGGATTCAATGGACAGGTTAATATGAAGGCATTTGGGAGCATTCACAAAAATGTCACGTCTACAGTACGTGACGCGGCGCGGAGTCTGGAGAGAAGTACGAACGGATACACGGGACAGGCCTACAATATATATATATTGATAGAAATTCTATAGAAAAAATGTTTTTAGAATATTATAAAAAAATTATGATTACTATTCCCAAAGAAGATTGATGTCAGGCAGGCGGCCGGTCGTAAAAACAATTAGCCAAAACTATTCACAACATGTAAGGCAAACCCTGGTTAAAGCTGGGAAATTGCCAGAAAGAAGAAGAAAAAAATATATAATTTCTGTGATTTCATTAAATATAACAAATGAAACGAACATTTATTAAATACATTTGTATTAAATGTAACAATACATTTAGATATTCAATTCTTAAACTACCCTCTATATACACTGATATTAATTCCGTTTAAACTGTTTTAATATGATACGAAATTATTTATACATATAAATAAATGAATGTCTGTTTGTTATATGAAAATAAAAAAAAATTCTACTAAATGTTAATGTATAATTAAAATGAGACGTGTTTTTTTTTGTCTGCTATCTTTTTGTTTCGACTAATCTCTCTAACCGCTGAGCAGATTTTGAAAGAACTTTCACTTGCCTGCTAATCCCTACTAATATTATAAATGCGAAAGTAACTCTGTCTGTCTGTCTGTCTGTCTGTCCGCTACGCTTTCACGCCTAAACCACTGAACTGATTTTAATGAAATTCGGTACAGAGATAGAGTTGACCTTGAGAAAGAACATAGGATAGTTTTTATCCCAGACTTTTGAAGGGTTCTCTTGGAAACGCGATATAACCGAACTCCACGCGGCGAAGCTGCGGGCGGAAAGCTAGTTTTAGTAATATTTATTTCGAGGTTTCGTCTCATTATAGAAAAGTAGTAAAGAATCTACTGTTATATAGACAAAGTCGCTGGCATAGCTTGTATAGTATTAAAAGAAACCATCCAATTAGTCTTAATTTTTATGTAAATTTAAAGTTTTTAAGTAATACAACAGAAAGTCTCAGTTAATTAACTACTTTATACTACACACGAAAAGTTCGTGCGTTAACAATTACAGTGTACACGATAACTCGTACTAAGTTCAATTGATATATTATATACAAAATATATTTTAACACATGTACAGAAAGTTTATTAAAATACTCTAAAACGATAGTAAAATACGTCGCTAGGTTTATTTAATATAATTCTACGTCCTTACCATTAGTCTTTCGTCATACTACTAACTACAGAGTTAGCAGTTTTTCATGAGTAAAGCTTCTTTAATAAAGTCTTATGTGAATGAACTATTTACTGGACACTACGTATTTAGTCAAATATGCAAACCCGTTGTAATTACTCTAAACAAATAAATATATATTAAGTTCTTAATATATTTTATAGTAATGCCATTTTAGTTAATCACAGATAATAAACTATCAGACGTTAAGAAATCAAATAAAATTACTTAGAAAGTTTCATCAAAATTTGTTTAGATTTGTTACATTTTATTTATTTATTTATATTTTTGTCACGATCTTCACTGAATATTAATATAACGTTTGGGAATATATGATGATAAATATTTCATGTGTTATAGTGTAATGGACAGACGATCAGATACACGGAGATCCGGGGACTCCCCGTGGCAGACATGATTTATTCGACCCCACAAAATGATGCCATATATGTTATGAGGTTTTACTATTGATTTGACTTGTATAAGAAATTTATTAAAAAAATCGTAAATATATATTAAATTATATTTGAGAAAAAACTTCTTAAATTCATGAATTTCATTTATATATATACCTATATGTATTTATATAAAGCAAAAATCGGAGTCAGTATCCTTAGTACAAGTAAGCATCGTCACACAATACGCAGCGTCAACAGTTTCTCATTCGTCAATCATCCCACATTATAATATTAACGAAAAATTCTCCGTATTATTGTAACGATGCAAACTCGTGCTAAGGATACTCTTTCAACTGTATTAATAATTTTTGAAATAATTCAAAGTTAATACTAACAAAAGAACCTGTTTCTGATTTGCTTTTAAACATGTATAAATTTTAAAAGATAACAAATTAAAAAGTACTTTTGTATAATAATAATTTTTGGTATACAGGGTGACTGGTGAATTACTATCGATACTTGAGGACGTGATATTTGACGATCATATATGACGAAATAAAAATTAATATAACATAAATATTAATAAACTTCTAAGTAAAGTTAACCAAAAGTTATGTAATTAATTACGCATCGTATGAACACCCTACAGATTAGGTATACACACACACTCACACATACGCGCGCGGCGGCGTGTTGTTGTATCAGCACGCCGCCGCACGCGTCCACACTTGGAACACTTGGAACGTGTACACACTTTATTTATTTATACGGAAATTTGGTCAAAAATTAAGTACCTATTTTTTTTACATAATTCGAATGAGAATCATGTACCGAGTATGCTAATTAAATATTGATAGTAATTCACCAGTCACCCTGTATATAGTAGAGGCTGCATTTACATTACTATGCGACATATGAATTATCAACAACGAAAACAAAAGGTGGAATTAATAACAAAAAAAGTTACATAGAAATGTCTAACACTTAGAAAATATTCAATAAAAACAAATATTTAAATTAAGAACAAATAAATCAAAAGTACTTCCAACTCTCATTTGACATCTCATTTCCAGCGCTCGAGATTTTTTCCGTTTTTGATAATTTGCCAAATTTTAATTCCAAGCCATTCCGTTATGAAGCGTCTTTTTAAACGTCTTGAACTTACTGAATTGCTTTCACTAATTAGTTCGGACATCTTCAATGTATATTATAATTACAAAAAGAAATAATAACACAACCTGTTGTAGTATTATAAAACTTGTCCTTGAGTTATGTTCCTTTTAACTTTAAAGATGTCACCAAAACAATTTTATTTATTACAAATCATTCGTTACATTTAAATTCAAACCCAATCTCCACTTGAGGAAGGTTCAATTTAAATAACGTCAAGGATCTTCTGTTTTCTATCCATTATCTTACACTTAGTGTATCATTGATAAAACAATTTCGACTCTTTTACATACAACATTAGAGTTGAATATTGTATGTACAATATTACCAGAGACACATGACGTCCACTACATCAAAATCGAGCGTTCCATTTTCGAATTAATTCCGAACCGTTTTCTAATTGGCGCGACGTGACTTGTCTGTGTTCAGATCTAATCAACGTGTTTGAATTTCGAATGTAATTTCTATTTGGTCCTTTGACTACGTCCCGATTCACCCTCTATCGAAATCATTGGAACAGATTAACAAGCTATTTGACAGCCGTTCAATAGTGATTATCTTCTTCCTGGCAACCTCCCAGCTTTAGCCAGGGTCTGCCTTAGTTATATTACACAAATATTTTAAATAAACCTTCACAGTATTAAATTTAATATAGTTGTTGCGACGCAGAAAATAATTGCAAGTTTGTTTTATTATTTTTATAATATCGTTAAGTTGAACGCCGGCGATCATTAGCGCGCCTCATTAAAGGAAGGTTCGTGTAACAAAGTTGTCATTACACAGCCGCTAGGAAAACTGGAATAGTTTTAATACATTTTGTCTAAAAATATTTATAGTTGTTTTTTGTTATTTAATATAAAATCTTCACTAGTTTTTAAACTAATATCTGTATAAGACGTAAGCTGTTAATTTACGTATATATTTTTGACGTAACGTAATTCTTATCAGATTGCGTGCACCTGCAACTATACAAGGACTTGAAGGAGCGTCAGAAGAGCGGTCAGACGAAAGCCTCGTTATCACTGCAGCAGTACTTGGGGTTCGAATCCGGGTTCACCCTGGATAAGGAGTCTAACACACTTGCCATACTTTGTGAGGACGTGGTACCTGTACTAGCCTTCGATACCAGGGAAATGCTTATGCAATGGAGGGTTAAGGTAGGAAGATAATATATGACAAAAATCCTTTGTGGTTAAACAACTTTATTTCCTCATAAAGAACATATTATATTCACTTAAATGAGATATTGCATAATTTAATTTTATTGACAATTTAGTATTAAACGACTTATACAATTCAAGAGTAGTTAATCTAATACTAAGAATATATGTATTGAAATTGGTTATATTTAATTTAAATAATTTAAAGATTAATGCTCAAACCTTCTCCATGTATGAAGAGGTCTTTGCTCAGCAGCATAAACTATAAAAAACTCGCGATTGTATCAAATTGATGCTATAAATATGAAATAGCTAATGAAATAACACGTATTTTAAGTTAAAACAACGCGATGGACCCGGCACCCGCACGGTGAATCCATGGAATGCTGAGAAGTTTCGTCTCTTTGTTAGACCATAAAAATAATATATACATATGGGTACTTGAGAACAGAATATGCTACATTTCTTTGATAAATTCGTTGTATTTAATACTAAATCAATGATCCATATAACATATCCAGGTGCAGCATAACCTGGGCAGTAGTAAGGAGTTCGCGGCCGTGATCATCTCGTCTCCGACAGTGAAGCCAGGTCCTGTGAGGCTGCACGCCTGCGGGCCCCGCCTGGCGCTGTGTGGGTCCAGGCCTCCAGAAGTTCTGGCTCTATGGGACATTAAGTTACTGAGGTAAGACCTGGAATAAGATCGACATACACCTGCAGGTTTTCATGATAAAGATTGCAAAGGAGCAGACTGCCTACTGATGGAAATAGTACCGTCGAACGTGGACATCTGTTATTTAGAAGATGTAATATGTCTATATATCTGGATATGTCTCCCTTGATTGGGGAATAGGGAAGGAAAAAGTAGGAAAGGTAGGGAAATCAGAAGGGGTAGGAAAGGATGGGAAAATGAAAAGGGCAATCGGCTCTCTCACTCATCGACCGAAACGCAGCCACTAAAATCTACTTCACGCCGATCTTCTGTGAGAGGGTGGTACTTCCATGTTCGAGCTGTGGTAACATGACCACAGCTAGGCTAGGTGGTAGCACTATCATAAGATTGACAGAAAATTAGAAGTTATTAACTTATAGAGACTAATTAATAGTTGTTACATATAAGTACATAGAGAGTATTATTTTGGATTTTATGTAAAACATAATATATGTCATATTCATTGATTAGACAATACGTTGAAGTTGGGACGCTATAGAGTCACAAACAGACATACAATTTATCATATAACAAAGAACGATCTTGTTCATATTATGTAAGAAATTCCTTCATACCTCACTTGAGTGATAAGTCAACAGTTTAAATAGATATTAATGTTTTAATCATTCAATACTATATCCTGATGACGTCACATTCCCCCCTCCTTTCCTCCCCCCTTTCACCCGTTACGCCACTAGTCCTGTATTCGACCTATTTTTCGGTTGCATCTGCTGTGACGTTTAAATCGAATGCCATTTACAGTCCCGTGAAATGAACTGAGTCGCCTGCATTAGAAATATACTCGTAAACATATAAATAAATAGATATTACTGAATAAATCTCGTCTACCCTTCATCACGCTAAGTAAACGAAACGTCGGGAGTATGTATTAATGTAGTAAATATGAAAAATATTAGTTTTATATAAAATAATACTCGCGAAAATCTTAGATCTCATTCTTCCTCTTCTTCCTGGCAATTTCCCAGCTTTAGCCAGGGTCTGCCTCTTAGATCTCATTATAAATGAATAATATTGTTAATAACGGAATGGTTAGTATTAAATTATTCCGTACTAGTATCCAGTTGAAAGTTATAATTAGTTACATTGAGTTCCTAGTGATAGCTCCAGGCGAACCTCTGAATGTAACCGTAAAATTTCCTCTCATTTCTTACATAATACAATTATTTCGCGGCCACGTTGAATCTCCTTTAATATTTGTATTGTTGAATTCACCTAGTTCATGTTATGGCAGTGTTTCTACAACCCCCTCGCGTTATTTCATTTTGTTTAACCCAAATAATAACGCGCCTTACACAAGCTTGTGTTTTTATAAAAATTTCACTCCCTATGAAAGTGCGTTTCGTTTAATGCAGAACATTCACAGCAACAAATTGAGTATCAAATTATTGCAATCGTTCCAAAGTACGTGTAATTTTTGTTATTATTAAATTCTATAAGTAAAATCTTTAGTATTAGTATTCATAGATTCTCGAACTGAATAAATTTAATCTTTATTCCAAACGCCGTTATTCGCAGAGAGATTTGGAGACCGTCTTCTAATGTATATCAAAAGTTGTGAAGATAATTCATATAATTTCGTGCTAACGCTTCCGTTCCGACGCCGCGGGATGATTTAGGGTCAAGTTATCTGAACTTCCGCTAAAAATATATCACGAGGATTAAAAATTACCACAGCCTGGTACGGGAAAAGTTTCATTTAATACTAGCTTTCCGTCCGCAGCTTCGCCCGCGTGGTTTTCGGTTATATCGCGTTTCCAAGAGAACCTTTCAAAAGTCTGGGATAAAAGCTATCCTATGTTCTTTCTCAAGGTCAACTCTATGTCTGTACCAAATTTCATTAAAATCAGTTCAGTGGTTTAGGCGTAAAGGCGTAACAGACAGACAGAGTTACTTTCTCATTTATAATAGACTTAACAGAATTTCTTTTCCAATCACAAGTAAGCTATACAAGCACTAATACCAGAGGTGAGCTATCAAGAGACTTGAAAGCCTCAAACGCAATCGACATGAGGTCAAAGGTCGTTCACTAATAGGGGTTAGCTCGAATGTAAGCACTGACTGCAATTTGTCGTAGAATGCTTTAATAAATTGACAACACGTAACAGTTACATGGATGACGCAATATATATAGTACAAAAATACAACTAGAAGCAGATGTTTAAAACTTCTAGCGTAGTTGAAAATGAAGGTTTTAGAGTAATTAAACATCATTTAAATGAAACTAATATTTTTCGGATTTTACTTCGAGTTTTATTTTTGATTAGAACTACATACTCCCGATGTTTCGGCTACTTTTCAGCAACCGTGATCTCGTCTGCCCGTGATCACGGTTGCTGATATTAGTTTCATTCCATTAATAACTGCTTAGCAAACAAATCCTCAAACAAACTCTTCTTCTTCTACCTGGCAATTTCCCAGCTTTAGCCAGGGTCTGCATGTCGTGAATAGTTTGGGCTAATTATTTTTACGACCGGCCGCCTGGCTAACATCAATCCTCTTTGGGAATGCATTAATCAGTGATGTCTAAATACTCTTTGAAAGTACATATGACTCGGAAAAATTACATTGGTACTTGCCAGGATCGAACCCGCGCCCTTGTGTATGAGAGGCGGGCCTTTTAACCACTAGGCCACCACTGACTTCACTGACAAACTAACTAGTACTATTTATTTCTCAATTATTTTTATATATATTATACGTCAATACTTCCATTTTAATGTGTAACAGCGGTCCTGATTTATGTTCTATAATAATGTCATTATATTATTTACAGGCTATATTTTAGGATGATCTAAAATCTAGGCTTTTTGAACACATTATTTCATGTGATATTAAAACATGAGTTTCTTTTTCATAATGTGATCTAATACTTTCGCGAGTATTCATTTAATTGTAACTATTATTAGGATTACTAAGCGTATTTTATTATGTTTATAAACTCATACTCACGAAGTTTCGATTAGTTTTCACGGCATCCACGAAGTGTAATATGAAACAAATCAATTTTCTTTATTTTCGTTTAAATTTGTATGAAATTAACGAAAATCTTCGACGTTGGGTCATAATGAAGCTCATTATGTGAAAAAATAAAATAATTGCTGGTAAATTGATAAAGAGTTTCCATCCCCACGACTTGACAACCAGGGGACGTGATGTATGGTGCTCATTGGACGACCAGCGGGTAATGTGATCGATGGAACAATTAATGTACACCAGGATATTGGAAACGGTTTAATTAATGAACACTATTATGATGCACGGGTTACAGAAATCAGATGAAATGACGGGTAAAGAGCATTTCTATGGAATTTTTCTATGAGTCCCATAGAAAACAGATAGTATATTTTCATAACTAATGTCCTTTAAATTGGTGAACCTATATATTATATTATTGATTGCTAAACGAGATTAGTAATTGGTCCATATTAAATTTACAGGATGCTGCAATAACTTCAATATATTTATAACCCAAATTAGATTTTATTTCAAATCTTTTTCTTGTATTTTTTTTATATCTTCGTTAATCATAATGTAATTTTTATTCGCGTCATAGTTGTGTGTAACTTACAAAGCTGATATCGACTAATTACATTATTAGGAGCCCGCTTCAACAATACATGAGGGATTAAACGGACAGACGGTCTCCAAGATACAAGCTGTAGCGGTATATATATATATATACAATTTAATATATATATATATATATATATATTAAATTGTATTAACAAAAGAACGTAAGAAGGCAGCCCTAGTAGGTTCTTTTCATATTTGGTTAGGTAGAGGAGCTTGGACGGTGGAGGTGAGCGTATAACGCGCGTTAGATAGGGGTCCCTTAAACCTACACCTGGGTCGCAAGTCACAGTCACTGTTGAAGCTCCTCTCTCTACAACGATGGACCCGACACACGCACCGTGAATACTTTGAATGCTAAACGTTTTATCTCATATATAAAGAAAAAAATATTTTTCTTTTAACCACAAATAACATTTCTAATTAAGAGTAAACAATAAATGTAAATCTATTTAAGAGATATAACATAACAAACAAACAGACATCATAATACATATATTAATATTATTTTATATCGTACAGCTATCCCGTGTACCACAAACGCCCTAAAGCGATACCACCGTACCACGCTAACTAGTTGCGAGAGGAAATATTTAAGCTTTGATACACCAACATCAGACATTACCAAATATTATATTGTTTGTTCTTTAATTAATAAACTGATTAATATATATTGATGCCTTGATCACTTAATGTGATTTTTCCAAATCATATGTACTTTCTAAGAGTATTAGACATCACTGATTAATGCATTCCCAAAGAGGGTTGATGTCAGACAGGCGGCCGGTCGTAAAAACAATTAACCAAAACTATTCACAACATGTAAGAAAAAGATACAGAAAGAAACAAAAAGATAAAATTAATCATTTAATTCATGAATATTAATTAATAAAGTTTAAAAGTCGTAGATACTGTTAAAGGAATCATATTACCTCTGTATAAACAGACGAGTCCGAAGTACCAGGAACGATTATTTGAGTTGTGAATTCAATCTTGGAGGAGAGTTCAAAGGAGATGTAACATCTTTAATTTTTATCTCTTTATTCCAGCAATTAACCTTCCCTGAGTACCCTTAACTTTCAACGGTACGAATTGGTTTGTTCCGCTTGGAACAGTATATATCACAGTCGTAATTAAGAGATTTTTTTTGTATAGATGTATATAAATATATGTATATAACGACTTAATGAAATTTAAATATAGCGGATTCATCAGAACAACGAAAAGTATATAATTCATAAAATAATTATAATTATATCAAACAGATGATAAATAGCGCTGTCGTTTTGCTACTACATACATTTATAAAATTCTTGGGTACGATTTTTCAGTTCTCACCAAACACAATTCTAAATTCCACATGGAAAAAGTCACAGTCAGAAGTAATACTATAATATTTTTAACTATAAATATTGTTTCAAACAAAAAAATACATAGTATATCAAAGAGCGTGCCATTTATAACTTTTAATGTACAAGTTAACAAACTATTAAACTCTGGTAACTGCGAACAAAAACATATTTCCAAATGATGATGGACACTGTTACAGTTAATCTCAATTTAAATATTAACAAGTTATATTTTTTGTTTAACCTCCCGCATCTAACTTCCTCTGTTGCAACAAATCATGAACGAAATAAACTCCGTTCAGTTATAAGGACGACCTACAGCGGGAATGTATTTGTTCAGTAATAAAAACAGCTACAGGGTGTCGTAAACTGTCGCAATCATTCCGCCAGCGAAGTGGCTCGGATTTAAATATTTTATGTCTCTCCAGCCAAAGCTTACAATTAAGACTTACTTTACTTACTTTATTTGGTTCTATATAACTTTTAATACAACTTTTATTATTAAAAGTTTAAGCTAGTACGTAGCGGAACAAACCTTCAGGAATCCGCTTACAAAATTTGAATTTATAACAAAACTGAAACATCGGTGGAAATCCCTATATAATGTAGTCATTATTATGTTTTTATATTACAACTAGCTTTCCGCCCGCAGCTTCGCCGCGTGGAGTTCGGTTATATCGCGTTTCCAAGAGAACCTTTCAAAAGTCTGGGATAAAAACTATCCTATGTTCTTTCTCAAGGTCAACTCTATCTCTGTACCGAATTTCATTAAAATCAGTTCAGTGGTTTAGGCGTGAAAGCGTAGCAGACAGACAGACAGACAGACAGACAGACAGACAGACAGACAGAGTTACTTTCGCATTTATAATATTAGTAGGGATTGTGTTTGAGTTGAGTTGGTTCAGACACGTAGCGGTATTCCCGGTGACGTCACACACACACACACACACACACACACACCTCGTTATACACTATTCGCTGACTTTACCTTTCCAAAGCTAAGTGAGTCTTGATAACTAAGATGTCGGTAGGTGGTCGGTGGTTCAACTTACGCTATGTCAATAGATTAAGCTGTTATCAGTGAGTGAGTTAAGTTACGGTGTGAAGCTTTGTGATAATTTATCCCCCGACTTGTGAAACATTGATCAAACATGCTCCAGATTATAATTTAGTGTAAATTAAGTTGAGAATTTGATTCAGAATGCTCGCTCAAAAGATATTGAGTATTGATATGAAGCTAAAAAAATATAATATTCACTATAGTAGTGATTATTGTAGCTGAAAAGTAGTCGAAACTTCGGGAGTATGTAGTTTTTCACAAAAATAAACTACGTAGTATATCCGCAAACTATTAGTTTCATTTAAATGAATACTAATATTAGATTTTAAAAATAAAGAAAAGTTACATTACCGATTATAATGAGTTATTCGTTAAACGGTTCAGCGGACGGAAGCTGTTAAGTTTTAAGACGTGTAGTAACATCAATTAAATTATGAGGCATTATAATATATTAATATTAAGGCTATAAAAGATGAACGTGGCGAGACTCCTTACTAGCTACAATGAGGTCCTCGAGGTAGTATTAGTATGACACTTACTGTTAGTAGTAAATGAACGAAAATAATTACATATATATACCGCTCTTATATACAATTATTTTTTTATTATATATTATAATTATGTATTATTTTTTTCTATTAAAAACACAGGTATTCTAAAAAATTAAAGTTGAATTTGAACTTACTTGAATCATATATGTATGTATATAATACGAAAGAGCTTTGTGAATACTTCAAGTTGTTAGATTACCCGTATTTTTAATAGAAACAAAGTAATAAATTATAATAAACAATAAAAAATACATTGTATATAAGAACAGTATACATCAAAATGAAAGTTCATTAACATTAATTACGTTCTAACCAGGAGTTAATGATAGACTCTTTGTTCCAAAAATAATTGAGTTTCAAATCTCTCCCTACACTTTATGGCTTTTTTCACACCTATATTCATTTGATTGGTTCTGAACGGATGAGATGCATAATAAAACTTTTGAACTATTAAGATGATTATATTTTTAATTAAATTAATTATAATTTAAAACTGACATTTATGTTAATCGCTGTGTATAAATTGAAAAATTAATGATATTATGGTAGAAATACACATATATAAAAACATATTAGAAAACGATTTTAAACATAATGTATTAATGTAAAATTTATTATATAGTTTAGTAATATTGTGAATTAGATTCTAATAGTAATGTCGCAGACAGTGGACGTAGCAATATAAACAGATGGACACACATATACTATAACATGAAAACTGTCTGTAGTATTAAATTAATTATAATAAATTTTAGTGTTTTGAACATAGTTATAAAATGCATTATTTTTTTTCTTTCTCAACTAATTTTCAAAACTATTAAATTTGTTTTAATATGACTTTATTAAGTTGTTTAAGAAAAACCTGGTCATTTTATTTCAATAGAAAAACTAATGAATTTCAAATTATTCACATATTTTACTAATACATATAATGATTGTAGCAGTTTTTAATTGTTCTTTCATAATTAAATATCGTGATATCAATTAATATTAAACATATAATTGATTGATCATAGAATACGCATGCAGTAAACAATTTTAATCTACATATTATACATAGTTCTGTACCCGACTCCGTCTCTGAATCACGAGACATCTCAGTATTTGAAATTCAAACGTTGAATGTCCAAGGAAATGAAATTCCCTTGGGGTCGTTATCAGTACACTCGCAGGATATTAAATTTTTAATGTTTTATTTTCTTATCAGTTGTATTTTCATTTATTTATCCTGCCTCTTTGAAGGTTAAAAACAACGATCTATTATTCTCATACACTTTAAATTTTTAACATGTTTTACATAAAAAACAAAAAGAAAATTAAGCATGAAATGTATTAACAAAACACTCATACCAGTATAATTTGGCACGTTTGTTTCAATTTAAAAGCTAATAGCAAGCCATTACAATCCATTGGTAGCAGAATAATTTATATCGTCGATACCTTACGAGCTAAGTACGCGTCTGATACACTTGCTGTACACTCGTTTGAAAATGATTTATTAACTGAAAACGGATAAACTGAAAGTATTGAGTTTAATACAACACACGATTAACGATGAATGGTACAGAAGCTATTACGGACATGGCCAAATTTAGTTATAAAACAATGTGATTAGGGTCGTGGTGGCCTAGTGGCTAAAGGAACGCCTCTCGTGCACCTCGTGCAGGGCGCGGGTTCGAAACCCGGCAAGTGACAATGTGAATTTTCCGAGTCATATGTATGTACTGTCTAAGAGTATTATACACCACTAATAGACGGCGAAGGAAAACATCGTGAGGAAACCTGGACTTATATGTAGTTTCAAATTATAAGTTTGAAATCGCCAACCCGTCTTGAGCAAGCGTGGTGATTAATGCTCTAACCTCCATGTGAGAAGCCTTTGCTCAGTAGCTCTGATAGGCTGATTATGAATGTGATTACAGTGCATCAATCACACTGAACGAAGTCGTTAAAACAACATAGCTTACAGTAGTTTAGAAAATAAATAATTCGGTAATAAGTTATATTCGAGGTTGTCTTACTCTCTGTGTAATGACTTTTTAACAAGCCGTGATTTCTTCGAGGCTGTAAATCATATTTGACCTTCATCATAGAAGATATTTCTTTTATATATCTTTCTATAGAATGGTACTTTAAAATATCTGTACAATATTTGATAACTTAATATAGCTGTATGTAAGTAATAAATTTATTATTATCGCAGGAGATTCGGTATGGTTGATAAGCGGTTCTGTGTGGAGGGGGGCTCTCGTTGCGGGAGGGGCGAAGGCCTATTCGTGTTCGCAGCGGAGGGAGGTCGTGAGTTGACTGAGCTACTGAACGTGTACACTCATGAGGCTCACTCAAGGCTCAGCATCGCCTCTAGAAGTGGATCAGGTACGTGAACATTTAACATATAACAAATGTTACAAATATATAAATGTTAAAACAATTGATATACCTATATTAGTGATATATCCGTATTTGTTTGTCGTATGATTTTAAGCTGAAATAAGTAACAGTGTTTTATTATTAAAACTTAAAACTGTTTTATCATACACAGCTATCACCTCTATTTGCTGTATTTCATCTCATTAATCTTGTTATTCATCTCCAATAATCCTTTATGAACATCAAACTATTCAAATAGTGATTAAGACGTATATCTTTATTTCTATTAGTTCTAGAGAAGCGTTTCTCAGACACGAGCTCGTGTATGGACGACTGTTTCAACCAGTCCCTCCGTTCAGTGTCTCCCGCCTGGCCCGCTCCTACAAGCCACACAATGCACTGTCTATCAGACTTAGACTCAAGTCTGGACAGTAATGACGACAAGTTCAGACGACCGACCTCACTACCACGCTGTTCAAGTTGTGTGGGGAAGATCAGCCATTTGACCAGGTCAGGGATATTATCATTAACCCACTAATTGATCGATCTCTGGTCGAAACAGATGATCGATGGAATTTATTTATTTATTTATATAAGAACAACTTACAAAACATACAATATTTATAGGTTTTAAAAATGAAGGTTATTACATTTTTAGCTAAGTGTTGTTTCAATTAAAAGTACTCACGGCATGGAAAAGGACACTATTTTCTATTAACCTAACACAACTTTTTTTTCTACTTCAATTATACAAAAGGGGACACAAAAAATACTACCAATAATAAAACAATATAAAATGTTAATTACAAAAGACAATCCCAACCAACTAATACTAAATTACCAACTTATTACTAAACAATTAAAAATAAATAAAATGTAACTTTTTTTTTAGATAACAAAAATTCTAAAGCAAACATAACAAACAAACAACTGTTATACAGAACGTAAACGAAACAATATAAATTTTAATTGTATTATTTGTGCTAACAAAATTCCCTACATTCCAGATCATCAACAATGAACACACCCGGTTCAATGATGTCCCCTGTATGGACGATGGACAACATAATAGAGAAGAGATCGGATTCAGATCGAGCGTCGATCTATTCGAGATCCAGTGGTAGTGCGTCAGAGTACTCCGTGCCGCGCAGTGCGTGCATGCTCGATAAGAGTTTTGAGAACAAACGTGGCAGCCCCGTCGCCGGGTGTACACCGACAGTACCGGTGAAGACCGGCTGTACCTGCTGGCAGCAGACGAGGACCTGCTGCTGTAAGAAGAAGACCTTCAACGGACCATACGAGAACTACGACGTACCAAAGACACCCATGCCCTTAATAAAGGTAACAAACAAATAACAATATTATGTAAAAATATTTGCACGCCAAATGGGCAGAAGATTTTGGACCACTGTAAATGTATGAAATACCTTTATTAACCAATATTTGAGCAAATAAACTATTATTATTATGTTGAGCAATTAATAATGTTTAACTATACTCGTATGTATAATTTTGAATATCGTTTCAGGAACACCCTGTAGACTCCACGGACGCCGCCAGCTTGTACGACACACCAAAGAAACTGAAATGTCTGACTGGACAGTGTTCGTGTTCACACAACGATAACAAAGAGGAACAAACACACGCACACACAGACGACACTAACACAAACTACGTGAACGTGACGCCCCAACAAGATATAGACTTGAGTAACTACGCCAACATAGACAAAGCTACATTAGAAGAATTCGAGAGTTCCTTAAGGATTCTGCGTAGCGCGGGGTTCAGTCAGGAGGAGCTGGACGCGTTAGAAGATATACCGGAACACGACGACAAGCAACGAGCAACGAGCGAGTGCTGCAACAACATGGAACATACTGAGAACAGCAGTTGCAGCAACAGCAAACACTCAGACAACATCAGCAGAATTAGCCACGTATCGGACAACACGCAACAGACGAGCTCCGACAATACTATCAGCACGAGAAGAGCCAGCTCAGCGGATTTCACTAAGAGATACGACGACGAAGACAGACTGACACGAGCCTGTTACACACCTACAGTGATTAGAAGGAGCTTCAGAACTGATAACATCAACGATACACACACAAACACAAACATAGAAAAAGATAAAACACAGGCGAAGACTGAAAACGTGACACTAGTGACGAAATTACGAGACGCCGTTAAGATTAGAAGATCATCTAGCGTGCCGAGTAAATCAGATAAGAATAGAGATTCATCGAGCTCCAACGATTCAGGAGTATCGACTGGTTCACTCAAACATCACAAAGGCGACTTTGAATTAGATACAACCAAATCTTCCAAGAAGACGAAGAATAAGTTCCGTAATACATTAACTCCGGTACACGCGCCGCTCAAATGCAATGCCTCGGACCCTCTCAAACACTTGACATTCCAGTTCGAAGAAGTCTCAACGATGACTTACAACGACGGACATACACTCACCAACACGAAGAAGAGAAACGGTGAGCTCACTACAAATATCATAGAAACTAACAATATTTCCTTCCATACATCAATATTTCCATATATTCCAACCAAATTTCTTTATCCATTAAGACTACATCTACCAAATAATGTCAAATACTTAAATCCATTTTTATCATTGCAATCTCGCGAAGGCCATGTTCCGCACTGATAAATTCTAGATAATAAAAAACACTCGATAATGTTATCTGAAAAAATCGATGCACTTCTGTTATCATTTCACCTTCGTTTATAAAGACAAACATATATAAATGTTACATTTACATTCATTTATTACTAGAATTCATTCAATTAAATTTAAACAATCGTTAACTTTATCTGAAAAATCCTTGATTTTCTATCGATTTCACCTTCATATTTATAGTTCACATACTCTCTTTTATTTGTTTTCCTTCTCTTTTTTTATATCTGTCCACATTTCTATTCTCATATACTCTATCAAAACGATTTCTCATAGTCATCTCTTTTAAGAGATAAATTATCTTTTGTGCATCACATGTCTTTTATAATAATATAACTACATACCTACTACATTTGATAAATAAATAAATTTAAAACCATAAAAAATATACATAAAAAAAATAATAAACATTATATGTAACGTAACGATTACATTCATTTGTTACCAGAATACATTCATACGTTTCATTTAAATGTATAATATGATCATCAGGCGAAGGTGACGCGGTCCGTCACAGTCATCTGACCAAGAGTAGTTCTTCGGGTGCTTCAGACACGTCTGACTACATGGAGTCCCTGTCTGTGTCGTCCTTCAGTTCGTGTGACGTCAGCGAGCGTCACGTGACCCGCCCGCGCTCCGGGAAGGAATACGCCACTATAGACAGGAGCGTGATAACTTCACACACATAGAAACATATTAAAATACATATAATAATAAACGAAATATTTTTGTATTTATCAAGTTGACCTTGAATTATATATATCATTTAATATGTAACACCCATCATATGAGTATTGAGTGCCGTCTGCATGGTACATGTATAACAGTAACTCGTTCCTATGTATATATTTAATTAGATAATGATTTTTTTAATAAAGTGAGTTAGTTGTAGTACAGACCGAATTTAGCTGAGTGCAGCCAAATATAGCTTACACAGACGGCTCGGTGAATGTAAATTATAAGATTAAATGTAAGTCGCATTACATATGTTTCATTTAAAACGAGAATCTTCATTCGAGACGGGAACAATTTTAAATTGTTACCGCGTCGAATGATAGTGAATGATCAATTAGTCGATGTAAATGTATGTTATATTTTATAATGTATAGTTTTAGTCGTAACTGAAGCTAGGTACTTAAATTATTTGTGCCTTCACGTACAATGTTATCATTTGGTGTTACCCTCGGAGTTACTGAGCTATGTATCATATATGACTGTTTGTTTGTTAATTCTAGCGAGTAATGTATTTATAAAACGCCTCCATGAAGTAATAAGCAATAGTAACATAATAAAGTCTATTCTTGTAATACTAAATTTATATCGAACAGCCATTTTTGATATTAACACAGCTTGGACTCCTGCCGGTATTTTTAAATACGCTAAAGTGTTTTATATTACTATAAATATATATATACTAGTTCTTAAGTTTGGTTTTTCTTATAATTTTGGAGAGTAAATTGTTTAAAACAAATCGACTATAGTTGCTAGTTACAATTTTGTCTCTGAAATAATGTTTTGGTGGATTTTTGTCTAGTCAAAAATATTACGGCGGCCATATTGTAATTTTCGACAACAAAGATTTGTAATCACAAAATTATATATTTAAAAAGTGTTTAATAAGAATTAATTATAAAAATAAAATTATTTATTATATAAAAGAGGTTTTTCGTAATAAATGTATTAACACCAGTGTTATTTTGTTGCCAGTGATGAAAATAAAAGCGGGATTTTTGTTCAGTGATGTTACAATATGGCCGCCTCGCGTGGGTCGGTATCTTGCACGAAGTTTTTTAGTTCATGTGATGACTTTCATATAACAATATGTTGCTACTATGTTTTATTGTAGTTTATTACAACTCAGAGAAATATAGCGCATTACAAAGAAACTTATGCCTTTTTATTCTTACCATACTTTTTAAATTACATTCATTTAAAAATGAATAAAACTATTGGGTATAGTGACAGTGACATATCTCTAAGCGTATTTAAATAGTATTTCTATGTGTAGTGTGTAGTATTCCGTAGTTATTACCGTAGTATATGATTTCCATTGTCCGGGAACGTCATTGCAGTCCCTCTCATTAGCAGAATTTATTATCCACTACATACTAGTCAGAACAGCCATAGTCCTACAACGATTATTTAAACATATAAATGTTAGTTTTCATAAAAGATATAAATTATAAACAGGAATTTATTATTTCATATATCATAATATAGTGTATTACAATAAGCACAGTAAATAAAAACAATTCTAAACAAATAATTCTTTTTTATACAAAACTTGCTATTTTATCAAATAAATGTGATATAAAAATATGTACCAAAATTTCAACACTACAGTCATCATCTTCGGTAGTATAGTGGTCAGTATCCCCGCCTGTCACGCGGGAGACCGGGGTTCGATTCCCCGCCGGAGAGAACAACTTTTTTTTAATTTCCTTACTTAATAACCAATTTTCTACAACTAAATAGATTTTTTTTAATTTATAACAAATATCTTTAAAATTAATTAAGATATTATTCATAACAAACATCTACACTTATATTAAAAGAACATTCGATCACCTTTGAAGCTACCTAATATGTCAATCAGAGTTCTTTACGGATAAATATACAAGAAAATCAAATAGAAGTCCCTTTAATAATGTAATTACTTGTATCCTGTTGGTTGCTGAATGTAATCTCAGTTCCTTACTGATCCGGTCGACGGTCGACGGTCGTATCCCTGCAGTTTAAATGCACAAGTTAATTACTTTCCACAATCCCTGGCGCTTCAAACGAGTTCTCTGTGACAAATAAATAACTAGGAGTATCACTTACACAGACGGTTTTCATTTTTAAGGATTATGGACTTTATAAAATACGTTTGGATTAAAATGTGTTTCAAAAAAGAAGCAATTTCGTTTTTGATATACATATATTGAATGCAAAACGTGCATGGTAGTTTTAAGCTACGATTCTTTTACTATATAAAGAATCTTTTTTACAAAAATTCATAAACTAAATAGAAGTTTTGCAGTGACTTATATGTCCAATACAAAATATAATGATATTATTTAATATATTAATATTAAAACACATAAAGTAAGCGAGCCCTGAGCTCATATTTCCGAGCCCCTCGTATCGTTAAAGCCTGACATCGCTTGGTTGTTACTCTACGACGATATCAACATACTACCTCACCTTTGAATACATCACGAACAGCCTGAAGGGCTTCCAGATGTTTTATATTAAAGGTCAAACACTCGCTCTCCGCGCTACTTACTATTGTTCATAACCAAATGTTATAACAATACACTCATTGTAAATTGAAAGCTGACATTTGATTACGAATGTTTATTGTGGAGAAATGAACGGGTCGATAGAAATGTTATTATAATAAGCACAATATAATACAATTATATAAAAACAGATATGTATAAAGATTTTGATCTTTTATATTACGTTGTGAGCTTAAAACTAATTATAATTAAGATAAATAACTATCAAAACGATTAAAACATTGAAATCGTTATAATATTATTGAGATAAGTTTGTTTCATAATTTTTTTTAAATAACTTTGATCAACGTACTATAGGTTATTTTTAAATGTGGTCAAAGTTGATAAAAAACATTAAACGCGAGGTTCGATGGTTCAGATTATCTGGTGCATTAAGAAAATTGTGATCGGAAGATTTGAAGCAGCTCAATGGTTCTTAGAGAGCCAATAACGACAGTGAATAGATAAAATAAATGTATTACATGTCAGGGGACTCGACAGAAACAAAATGAAAAAAATAATACTAATACAGTTGTTTAGAAATGTTTTGGTAATCCGAGAACCACATTTTATATTTACAGACCATTTCTAAGAGATTTAAACAATCACGACAATATGGTGGACGGTGTGATGCAGAAATAAAACATTACAGTTTAATGAAACAGACTTTCGAATATACTTTTAATGTGTATTTTTTGGCAAAACATAATTAAAAATGGATTACTAAACAAGAAAACCTGACAGCTACTTAAGAACTTAATGTATAAAAGAATATCTCAATTGTTTTGAAAAAATTATATTAATATTTATAATTATAAATTGCTTAAATACTCTATGTTTAAATAAGTAGTTTATTACATTGGAAAATCGTTTTTATATGACTCAGTTCTGCATAAAGCTTTTCATTAACAAGAAAGCACATAAAAAGACAAAGAAGTATTCTTGACTGTTTCTTCGATGTTGAATCAATATGGAAAGTAACGTGGACAGTAACATTTTGATTTTAACTTTGACATTTGTGTTTCATAATACTTGTAAGTATGAAATATAATATTATTTTATATACAATTAACTAAGCTATTTATCGTAACACAAGTTTTATAAAAATATAACGCTAGTAATGATAAAACTTTAAAAATATATTAGGACAGCTAAGCTTCGTCATCAGCATTTTATATCTACATAACTTTATTGTCAAGAATTTAATCAAATATTTGAACATAATAATAATAATGAAACTGTTTACGTTTTCCAAGACGCAGGTAAAATATCTGAAGCAAGTACAGCCATCCACAACAACTGTTCAGAAAACGAAGTGTTTGTGACATGCAAGTCGTGTGAGGTGACTTGTGAAGGCCTCAAGGTCTGTCAGGAGACGTGTCACAGCGGCTGTCTGTGTAAACTGTTCAGAAACGGACGCGGGGAATGTGTTGATTATGAAAAATGTCCTCCACTAACAATACATAACAACGGTAAGAGAAAAATAAAGAAAGTTGTAGACAATACTTTAAAGTTCTGTGACAAAAACGAGTCATATTTGCTATTGAATTCTTATAATGAAATCATTTCATAAAGTTTGCTTTATAGAGACGAAAGAGACGAAACCTCTTAGCATTCAATGGATTCACCGTGCGGGTGCCGGGTCCATCGCGTTGCAGGGAGAGGAGCTTCAACAGTGCCTGGGACTTGCGACCCAGGTGTAGGTTTAAGGGGCCCCTTAACTAACGCGCGTTATACGCTCACCTCCACTGTCCAAGTTCCTCTCCCTACCTAACCAAATTTGAAAAGAACCTACTAGGGCTGCCTTCGACGTACGTTCTAAGAATGAATTAATGTTAGTTCTGGACAGGCCCAAGTCTTTTAGTAGGTTATAGAGAGATTTAGCTGTTATACCTCTCGCTCCCACCTCTACCGCGTACAAATCAACGACGAACCTATTTCGAGTTAGTTCGTTAGTGAGCTCGTAATACTTATTGACCTTGATGGCATGGTCTTTGGGGATGTTGGTTTAACAAGGCACCGTAAGCTCTATCATCACAACGCGCTTTAAAATACGCGAATATAGAAATATGTCTGGTCTGGAGGCCGACGCACAAATATCCTCGGGGATTTTGTATTGTTTCTCATACGTATCCATCATGATAGAATAAATAAAAATTACGTATCTAATAAATAAAAATTACACGAACCTCAGCTATTCAATACAGCTTCGATCTCAGATATATTCACTTCCCATACAATGACTATAGAAAAAAAAATTAATTAAGAAATAGCAAATATTAATTTTAAAATCAGTACCAGTAGGCAGTAGCATTAGTAACCAATTTCATACAATAAGAATTAAGAAAACAACGAATTATTAAATACTAGCTGAGCCCCGCGGTGTTACACGAATTTCCGGGTTGTAAAATAACCTATGTGTTATTCCTGGACGTCAGCTTCCTTTATACAAAATTTTATCAAAATCGGTTCAAACGTTTGAGCGTGATGAAGTAACAAACATGCACACACTCACAAACTTTGGCAATTATAATATTAGTAGGATAATCTCATATATCCTGGTATAAACTCTCTTTGTTTCCATGTCAAGTGAATCCTATATCAGTCATGTTCTCGAGTCTGTCTCCATTCTCTCACTCTTCTATCGAGGAGTGTGCTCCAGACGAAGTGTTTTCATCTTGCGGCTGGTGCGAACCTTCATGTGTGGTTCCTTCACCCAGTTGCCCTTCAGCATGTACTAGAGGCTGTCTTTGCCGCCCGCCGCTGCTGAGACACCACAGTGGACATTGTGTCAAAAAAGAGGATTGTGTTCCACGTGTGTATATAATATAATAATATCGAACAGCTTGTACGACAGTGTAACGCTCTTTTCACATTACACGATCGACTATTGAAGAGTACGAGACCTTTCACATTGCACGATTTGAACACGGGCACGTTTTGTAATCGTGTTGCAGCCGTCCAGTGCCACTAGAACCGCACGGCTACCGTATCACCCTCTAGCCTAGTGGCCTATGTGACCAAATGCACGCTTTCACACTAGACGGTCTTTAGTCGTACGGGAATTGTAGAACACTCTTCAGTTTCCCATGTAACTCATCAAAGGAGCGAACTGACATACGAAAGTAGTTGAACAACTTTTGGTCATCGTTTCTAAGATCTTCAAATAATGTGTGGAACATCCCGACTTCCTCTCGTCTCTGATTAATTGGGTGAATCCAGTGAAGGCGACTGCGCCTTTGTCTTTTCCGACGCCGATACAGTATCCATAACGCAATAACTTGTTCGCGATCCATAGTTTTCATCCAGACCAGACCAAATGTTCCAATTAACTGATAAAAATGTACGATTTTTATCGTTCAATGTGAAAGTAGCAAAACCACGATTAAAAATCGGGCAATTTTTTCCCGCACGAGCAAAATCGTGTAATGTGAAAGTAGCGTTAGTTAATAATGAGGATATCTTTTATTTTATATTTATTTAGGTATAGTTTGATAATTTTCTAGGTTCACGCGAAGTTATCTGAAAAACATAGTTTTATAATACAATGAATAACCTTCTCGTGAAAATCATAGTAAATAATAGTATTTTTTACCGAAAATAAACCAATTCACAAAAACATAAGAAATTCTAAATAGAAGTCAAATATAGAGAAAAGTTCGACTTCCTAATATTTTTCAAATCTTTATACTCGTGGACCACTTTCAATATTTATAGTAAACCTGAAGGAATGTAAGAACTGAAAAGACGATCAATGATTGTGAAGTTAAGTAAATAGCATATTATAGGTACTAGTGTCGTTTAAATGTGCTATTGTTAAAATTATTTATTTAGATATTATTACTTTCATATAATTCCTAAAATAAACTGTTCGATAGTGTCCCTCGGGAACTGTAGGCTGAACAGTAAACTGTAAATACTCACCAGCTGAACCCACTTACAGTGAAAGGTCAATAATGTCTTGTACTGTAACGGTTTATATACGAAATTAAGGAAACTCGGACACATTATGTTTAGGCTCTATTAGTAGTTGTTATATTGTTAATATGTTTAATTAAAGAAAGAAAGTCAAAGAGTAATTATTTAATTTTGTACATTTAATCTGATGTCACTTCTATACAACATCGAAATCCCATCGGTAGCATTTATTTCGTATACATAAATTGTTAGTTGTGGATTAAGACATATTATTTTTGACACGTTTAAAATTTGTATGATAATTTTTATTTGGTAACTACATCAAGGTTATAGACTTAATTCATTACGTAAGTGAAGATATATTGGTGAATATTGTAATGTTTCATACTTATGTTCCAGGTAAGTGTTCACAACCAAACGAGGAGTTCGTATGCAGACACGGTTGTGAGGATCGTTGTGTGTCTGTACAGTGTGAGAGAAGGAGCAGATGTCGTCTGGGGTGTCACTGTAAACGAGGAATGATGAGAGACACGCGGGGACAGTGTGTCACCCCGGAACAATGTGATCATTAACTACATTTTATAATAAAATATTCAATTACAGTTGTGATTTTATTTAAACAATTAGGACGTCAAAAGAATAGTTTTTCTAAAAATGAAATGGTTTAACAGCTCCTATTATAATAATTACATTACATAAAAGAATAATTATATGACTAAAAAAACAAAACAAAAAAGATTTCTCTCCGGCGGGGAATCGAACCCCGGTCTCCCGCGTGACAGGCGGGGATACTGACCACTATACTACCGAAGACGTTACGTGAGTGATGAAATTGAGAAACACAATTGTTTTTTGCTTTGAAATGTTTAAATGACCTTATGAATAATATTAAATATGTAATTAGTTAACACTATTCAATAAAATTTTTATAAATATCAGTAAAAATATATTTTGAGAAAATGTAGGAGCTCTAGCAAATAATACGAGAAATTTGTCAATACAATGGCAATATTTATTAAGGACGCTACTTCTATCTGTAGTGTCAAGCCTCCTGCCATAGTATCACTTCAGTTTCCCGTCATATTTTGGCAATCCGTAAAGTACTGTAGTTTCACTGTTCTTAAAAACTATTGACATTACAAACAATGAGTGAGAAGTTGAAAGAAATTCGTGAAAGATCTCAAAAACGGAAGAAACTTCTAATACAGACGGTAAAGACACCATGACATGTGTTCTGTTTAGTGCAACTAATGAAAAAAATACTCAGTCCGGTGACTTTCTGTATCTGAGAGTATGTAACCTGTATGATTGTGGTTTTTATCTCAATAGCGGTTGAGGTATTTTATTGTTTACGTTGTCGTGTCTTTGATGTAGAATATGAATTAAGTGAAATTGTTCCTCATTATTTACTTACCGTATAACAAACCTTACATAAAAAATTATAAACTCATTTCAACTTATGAATAATAAATATGAATAATCTATCTTTTCTTGTCCTAACCGACCCTCACTTGTATAGAACTCAATATCAATTCGCAGTTAGGTGTTTCAAGTGTGGGTGAACTGCGTAATGCTCTTGGCGCCACCCTCGATGTTACACCTAAGAAACAAGCTTCCTCAGAGTACACATCTGATGGCAATGAGAAACCTGTTCACAAGGAACCAGACAGCCTCGTATACACTGATTCATCCACATTCTTGAAGGTAAGTCTTTAACAATGACTGCACTGTAATTTGTTACTCTGACAAACTAGAAAGTTACTTAAAAGTGATAATTCAAGTCAAAAGTGGCTAATCTTGGCTTAGACACTGAATGGTCTAGCCATATTTCCCTTGCAAAACTGATCTCTTAAGTAGCCTGTTATATTGTAAAAGTAATAGAAGATCAAGGAAAGCTAAAGCTATAAGCTCTTTATCTAAGTTATTTGAAAAGCCAATTAAAAACCTGTCCTGACTATGCTCCTAAAATGAAGTACCTTTGATGGTTTTAAAATTAAGAAGATAAAACAATTCCAGTTTTTGTGTTATACTTTATAGTTTATTTCCTGGAAATTTTCAATAATCTGAGCCTAAATTAACATACATAAACATTTACTTGATTTCTTATTATCTTCACCTTTTATAATATATTGTGATATAGGTTCCTATTGTTTTAGTTTTTTAATAGAAAAACAACAAAACTTTCTAAGTATAAATATTGTTTTCATTATAGGGTACACAATCTTCAAATCCCCACAATGACTACTGCCAACATTTTGTGGACACGGGTCAACGACCACAGAACTATATTCGGGATGTAGGACTCGCTGATAGGTTTGAAGAGTATCCTAAACTTAGAGAACTCATCAAATTGAAGGATGAACTCATCGCCCGGACTGCAACACCACCTATGTACTTAAAATGTGACTTGAAGGTTTGTAAATATACTTTTTTTGATTGGATACTTCTCCACTGTCATTCCAACAGGTAGTAGGTGGAAATTATGCGCAGTTGATGAATGCAGAATCTCAGTAATAGCTTGTCCACTCCAGCATTAAATGAAACCAAATTATAATTGAAGTTAAACACAGTCCCAATTCAAAGAAAGTGAACCGATGGAATTCCTCTGGGTGTTTGGTTGTCTGAATACAAAATGGTTTAGAGGAATTGAAGTGTATTAAGCTTGAACACAATTTTCAAAATGTATCCTATAGTATACTAATATGTGAACTTAGTTTTGGATCCGACAAATGTCCAAAGTTATGGTTCGGTTATACCTCAATACATAATATATGGATTCAGGATGAAGAGACTCGTTTTGACAGTGAAAAGACATGATTACTTTTGGCTAATGTTAATTTTACTAGATTGGCATTGCCCTGACATATTACGTACTGACATGAGTACCTCTTTTGAAGGATTTCCAGTAGAAAAGCATTTCTGTCTAAAAGCATAAGATGCGCAAAATGTCACATCTCATTCCAATCTACTATCTTGTAACGACGCATTTCCTTTTCACTATGAAATTCGTGATTGAGCGAAAGATATGTCGATACAAACTGAACTAGATAGTGATCAGAGGTTCTTAAAAGCTGATGAATGATTTGTTAGTTAAAAAAATACACAATGTCTTTCATACATTAGATCAGAAACAAGTATCAGTTAAAATAACAATCCCCACTAATATTATAAATGCAAAAGTAACTATCTGTCTGTTACGCTTTCACGCCTAAACCACTGAACTGATTTCAATGAAATTCGGTACAGATATAGAGTTGACCTTGAGAAAGAACAGGATAGTTTTTATCCCAGACTTGAAAGGTTCTTGGAAACGCGACATAACTAAACCCCACAAAGCTAGTAACTAATATAATATTTCAGACATTTGATCTCAAGACGATGGGCAGTAAGTTTGACGTGGTGCTAGTGGAGCCTCCGCTGGGAGCCGGCTGGCGTTGGAGGGACGTGCTGGCTCTAGAGCTACATCACCTGGCTCAGCCGCGCTCCTTTGTGTTCTTATGGTGTGGCAGCTCCGAAGGTGAGTTATACATCATGGGTTTAATATATTATTAACTAATATCATGGTATTGTGTGTCCTATGTGGAGATTACATAAATAAGTGGTTTCATTTTAATTTTAGATTATGTAAATTAAGTGAATAAATTATGAGTAATGTTTTTACTGGACGGAATTGTCTTAGTAGATGTAAATAAAGTAGTATAATTAATGATCATACGATTAATCAAAAGGTTTAAAGAGTTTATTATTCTTACATTTTAATATTACTATATAAACTACAAGTGAAGAAACAATATCAAAATCTGTTTTTCCTATTCAAGTGATGTGGCCTATTTGATTTGGATTTTATCTATTCAATTCCCCTTAATAATAAATACCATATGACCAAGTTACATGAATTAATAATTTATATATATTTTTTGTTATAACTGTAATATACAAATTCTACAGGTTTAGATATGGGAAGGGAATGTCTGAAGAAATGGGGATTCCGTCGTTGTGAGGACATATGCTGGATCAAGACTAACATCAAGAACCCGGGACACTCCAAGAACTTAGAACATAACGCGGTGTTCCAGAGGACCAAGGAACACTGTCTGATGGGCATCAAGGGTACGGTGAGGAGGTCCGTTGATGGAGACTTCATACACGCGAACGTTGACATAGACCTCATCATATCTGAAGACCAAGAGTTTGGCAGCACTGAGAAGCCCATAGAAATATTCCACATCATGGAACACTTCTGTTTAGGACGGAGAAGGTACACAATGATGGTTTTTATTATGCATTCATGAGATATGATTCTTTATTTTAACAATAATGTAGTATATTTCGATAAATATTAGATTCATTTAAATGAATACTCGCGAAATTCTTAGATCTTATAAGATTAATGAATTATGTACTGTGAGGGCAATGGGCAAGCAGTGATTCCAGGAAAACACGATCCTACTTAGACATGGATTAACTTATAGCCTATACTTAATACATGTATGTAATATTACATTTCATGTTCCAGAGTGCATCTCTTCGGCCGTGACTCCACGATCCGCCCCGGCTGGGTGACCATCGGCCACGAGCTCACCAATTCCAACTTCAACGCGGAGCTGTACGCGTCCTACTTCACGGACGGCCGCGACACCACTGGCTGCACGGAGCGGATAGAGGCCCTCCGACCGAAGAGCCCTCCCAACACTAGCAAGACGCGCCCCCGGGGCCGGGGGGGCTTCAGGGGCCGCGGGAGGGGGCGGGGCGCCCTCTAGCGGGGCCTCGACTAACTGAAAGCGATAGTGTCGATGGGACTTATTATCCAGCCAATGTTGATGTCATATGAACTCGAGAGTGTAGACGGGGCCTGTCATCATATTGAAACAATTAATTATACAGCCGATGTTGATGATGTTAGTTTATTATATTGTTATGTGTAATTCGGACACTACTCGTTATATTGAGTTACATTATATTTTTAAATAAAATATTGATGAAATAAAATATATCAAGTTTTATTGCATGTTTCATATTCACTGTAATTTTATAATAAATAGTTTCGTTTTACCAGTTGCTACTGAAAGTGTTAGGTAAGAAAAGTAAGAAATAAAGTTATAAGTATAGTTCATTTCAATAGAATTTGGCAATCTTGTAAAGAAACGTGACGAGCTTATATTGTCACTAGTGATGTGAGCACTCTTTAAGATACTTCAACCCTGATTATTATATTTATATACTTATTATATAAATTTACCTATGTATAATATACATTAATAGTTTTATTCAGAATCATCACTTTCTGAAGTGTCACCTTGGACGTTTATTACAAAAGGATCCATTCCAGCATCAGTTGCTACATCTATGATCCAACTTTTTCATCTCCTCTTCTTCCTTTAAGACATGACTAACGCATTTCTTCCATTTTTCGGCTCCAATATTTGCCAACCCTTCTTTAAGCAATTTTTTCGTTTCTGGTAGTTTTAATGTTTTGTTTCTTCCTACGTATTATTTTACTTGTGCCCAAATGAGTTCAATAGGATAAAGCTCACAGTGATAAGGTGGAAGACGAAGCCACAGTTACTCCTCTGATTCGGCGTAATCATCCACATATTTAGTCTTGTATTTATGTTTGTCGAATTTTAAGAGTAGCTGAACCTTTATTTCTTTTGTATCGAAAACTATACCTTAACTATGAGGAAAAAAGTAAAGTTCTTAAACCACCTAATTTTGTAGCCATGCTTTGCCTATAGTCAGGTTATAATATTTTGAGTTGCTTTAAATACAATATATAATTGTTATAAGTATTTATATACATTTATCATGTACAACACTGACTTTTCAAAGACAGACTTTGATGAGTAAAAAAAGAATGGTGTCAATTTGACAAATACAATGGAAAAAATTCGTTCAAAAAATTTTTATAAATTAAACATAACATAAAACAGTTGTTTAGTGATGAAAAGATTGTTAAAAACAGTGGTGGGTTCATAGAGATTTAATCATTATCAGGACTAATATTGAATTGTACGTAAGAACGTAGTAATTGTGGTCAGTTACTTTGTTTACAAGATTGCCAATTTCTATTGAAATGGACTATACAACGTAAAAGTTTTTAAGTGAAAATCGTATTTTTCGTTTTCCAAAACGTTTTTAACTTTTCCATTGTTTTGAACAGGGATCTATTGAATTTTATCGTACTACAATATCTGTTTACAGTCATTTATTTCCGTAAGATAACTCAATTGTTAGTGGCTCTAACTCAAATATTAATTTATTTTTGTACTATCAGTCGCCTGACTATATTATCCAAAAAATATAAAAATCATTCAACATCACAATCATCTAATCTCTTTCGATAAGAACTAGTCTGATAATGAGACCACAGTATTCAAAGACACTTTTCTTCAAATCATGAAATTTTAGTTCAAAAGTTACGGAAATATGTAATATACTTTTTTCATTTCGTAAGATATACAATAATCCCGCTTGTCAACTTTAACTGTCATGTTAGCAGCTGTCCTCCCGGTGGTGATAAATAAAAGGCGTGTTATATACATCAATATATTTTATTTTACATAGGTTGTCTTTAAATCAACTCGACTATTCTGAAGTTCATCAAAATATAAAAAAGACAAAACAAAAAATATGTCATATGAGATCTTTTACTTACTAAGATAAGAAAAAATTTACATATTTTTATTTTAATTATTGTGGAACTAAGAATTTCATACGATTCATAAAAAAGTTTTTTTTTAAATAATTCAGCGCGGGGGGCTCCGCTGGCGCGATAACGAATCGTTGATTGCTATAAAAAATTTTGAACACATTTATTTCCAATAAAATGGTAGATCCAAAACATTGTTTCGTTATATATAGACCACCCACACGCCCCCACTCTCCCTGCCTCCTGTAAGCGCCCGTGTCAGCGAAGCCCCCCGCGCTATATATCTGTACTCAATTGACACACTCCTGTTCCTATCATAACCGCACATTGTCAAGTCTTACAATACATAATTCATTTTGTTATCATTATACAAGGCATATTATTTATCAGTGGCGCGGCTCGCCTCCACAGAGCACGGTTACATTACAAGTCGTATTACAAAACCTCTATAACCCTACCTTGGTCTGCGAGGCGCGGCCGCGACACGAGTCCTCCCTTTAAGTATAATCGTCATAAGATCACATTTTTAAGGCAAACAACAATCTTTTAAAGCTAAACAGTTGATTGGGACAGTCGGGGGGGTAGTCGGACAAAGAGAACGAAGGATCCCGAGAACGTGGAATGAGGGGCGTCAGGCCTGAACTAACGGAACGAAGACTTGGACTCGATAACACGCGTCGAGCGAACCAGGGATCTAGCAATATTTACATTATACACGGATATAAAGAACGAAAAAAACAAAAGTGACGTACATTAAAGAATTAAATTACATACTAATTAATGAGAAACATGTTAAACAAAAATCATGAAACTTATAGAAAATAAAGTAAAACAATTTATTTCATTTGGAAGCATTCGTGTGACAGCTTTAGCCCTTTACAAAGAAAAAAAAGAAATTTAATACCTTTACAATATCCTAAAAATAACGAGGCTGTTTCTAACAACAGAGAGCATATTATATTTATTTTTGTAAGAACAATTTATAATTGATGAAATCAATAATGAATGTCTAGCTCGTTTCTGTTGTTCAAAATTATCAACCCTTTACGTTAAATGTTAAATTTATATTAAAAATATATATAATAATAATAATTCCGATGTTTCTATGACGTCCCTAAGCTAACCTACTACACCTTATACTTATGTTGTTAATACTAACACACCAGCCGAATGTCTCGAACACAGCGCGTGTTCTCATTACCACAACGATTCGATACAAGAGGAGGGATTTTCGTATTCTTTTTGTAATATATAAGAAAAAAACTTTATATATTTGAATGTTATTCTGTAGTTTTCTACATAGATGATAGTCGAAAATCATAATAGTCCCAAATTATTTATACCTCTCCATCATAATCAAAGTACTCTCTCTGTTTCTAAACAGTCCCAAACGTCATAGAAAATTAAAGTGAGGCGGCCGTCTTGAACCGAGCAAGACCCGGCCTTACGATATAGACAAATAAAACCACAGATCTGAACAAATCTAAAATAACGATATTTACAAATCCAAATATGTTTCACTGCCGAATTTACATAATAATTGATTTAATATAATTAGATTCTATAGTAATTTGCACTTTCAACCCGTTTCGTGTACACTAAGTCGTTATATCCGTTACGAAGGTAGCAATAATCAATATTGTCCCTCGTTATGATCGAATCTAGAGATATTAAATCAAAACTCAACTTCCCTAACCGTAACTTAAGGCATGAACACGCGTCACTTTTTAAAAAACCTTTTTTTTGTTGTATTAAAATATATATAGTAAATTCTTGGTAATCATTTATTATTCAAACTTGAGGAAATAAAATTATTTAAATCATCCAACCTGCTCTATTATAATAAACGTGTAAGGTAGGTACATTCTCTTTCTTTGGGTAGCGTTTATTTGGATTCAAAAAAAAAAGATGAATATAAAGATATTGTTAATGTCAACTGTTTTGTGATTTTTCTTAATGAGAGAGTGCTATATGGGGTTTTATTTTTAAATTTCGCTAGAAAATTGTTTCCGTGAACGTAAATTATGAAATTCCAAAGAAAAAGTTAAAAAAAATCCCATACAACACGATGATAGCCTAAAGAGATGGCAGTTAATGAGATCTATGAAAACCTGCGTCCCCGCGGACCAAGTCTAATAGTTACGGATCCGAACACTTCAAACAAAATAAATTATACAACTCCATAAGGTATAAACTCGCACGGCTTATATACGTGCGAATTTAAACTTTAAAGACATATAAATATGATTCATTTCGTATTGAAGTGACCAGTCCTATGGTGGGATCTGCCTCGCCGAACGACAATGTATTTCTCTAATTAAAATTATAAACTAATCGAAACCAGTAACTTATCATGCAACAACAGAATCAGTGAAATAAGCGATGTCGGAGGAAAAGTTTGTACTGTGGCCGAGAAACTACGAGTAGAGGATAAAACGTACAACAAGAACCTCCCGCGGATCTAGTCCGTATAGAATTAACAAACTTTCAAATTTAAGATAGCAAAATTAAATAAAAATAAAATAAAACTATTTTTTATTTTATATTTTTCCACGTTAATCATTATTACTTTTTCGTATCATCTACACTCCCAAACGTTCCAAGCCTCCTCGATGTCGGCGATCAAAAAAAAAACTCAGAAAAACGAAAGACCCTACAGTTAATAAATAGGACGTGAATCAGTCCGACACTGGCCATTAACTATCAACAGTCTAATAAACACCGGAAACACGTTTGCTGATACAATACAAAAATTTCGTGAGATTAAAACAGTCGAAAAACCTCATCCCGAAAAAATATAGACGCAAAACAAAATGTCTCCCAGAAGTATTGAAAAAACATCGCGTATAAACAAACGTAATGAGTGTACATACTGAATCAGTCATGTTACAAGTTAACAGTTGTATGATGGCACAACCCGTACATATATATAGTTCGTATCTACATTAACACACACATACAACACTAAGTCCCTCACTAAGATGACGCGCCGCCGGCGACCTCACTCACAGGTATGTAGATTCACCTGGAAACAATTCAAACAACCCATTTACAGAACATTACAGATGCCACATTCTACAAGTGAACCGATCTCGATATATGAAAGGCGTTCAATAATATAAACATAACAAAATAAAACGTGGCATGTGTGATGCGTTCAGGCGAGCGAAGCGTGAGGCGGGGTGATGGTTACTGTGACGTCACACACACACACACACACACAGATGTAATCATTAGTATTAACATGACGTGTACATGTGTGGGTGGCATGTTAAATGAAATATTATATACACCTTAACACAAAACACATTCCACAAGGACACGGTATATACAAGATGTAGGCGAGACGAGCAGAAAACAATAGCACAATCAACATTTATAATAAAAATATATTAAAATTTATAATTTTCTGTTCGTCCCGCGTGTTATAGCATGCACATTAATAGAAGCGGAATATAAAGTATTTAACACGTGAGGATGGGATTAAAAAAAAAAATAAACCTGAAAAAAGCAAAAAAAAATTAGAAAAAAAGGGAGCAGGCATCGAATATTAAACAAATAATAATAATGTGGTGATAAGAACAAGCGGTGCCGGGCATACAAGGAACCAACGTAAGGTACGCGCTCACTGTAAGCGGGTGACGGCCTTGAGTTATAGTGTTATATGAACTACCGGCCTACGGACACAGGCGGCGCGGGGACGTGCGGCACACACACATACACACACACACATGTTACACGACACATGTACAAAGGAGAAATGTCTTAGTGTCATTCAAATATAGAATACAAAGTATTCCAAATTTGAATATTCTCTAATCTCTAGTGCTGGTCGGTGGTGGTGGGGGTGTGTATATAAGCGCGCGCCGCACGTCCGGGCCGCAGTGCCTGCTCGGTTATATTTACGTGTGGTCGAGGTCTCTAGCGGGCGACAGCGGCCGGTAGCGTCCCACGCGCCCGCACGACGACGCTACAACCACATACATACATATACACCTGACACGACCTCTATGTACACATGAACACGATCATATATTAAACGGACCATCATATAAATTACCGAGGTCGAATCTACATATTATTTGGATATTTATTTTATCCGCCCATTTCTTTGTTTTATTTCTTCCGTGATTCTACTAGATAACTATATGGAGTAATTCACAGATAGACATCGGAAAATATAATTTATGTATTTGAATATTTTAGTATTGAGTGAATTTTATATTAACGAGAACTTAAAGCGTCATCTGTATTCATTAGTAGAGAAGAATAAATGTAATTCATTTGATAACCTTGTAATAAAATGATTGGTACATATAAATCAAGTGTCGCCAGCAACATTTCTCGATACAACGATATATTCGAATGTTGTGAGTCCGTTACGTGTTAGGGTCGACACAATATATATTTTTATATAACATAATTATAATAATTAAAGTTTTTATTTATATTACATTATTGGATGATAATGTAGATAGATGCATTGTAATGATTCCAATTTAATTACCAAACAGTACACATGTGTCAACCCTAACACTGTATATTTGTAAGGCTGTCCCAACCCTATTCGTTATTGAAAGCTAACCCAGGTTTCGATATCTCATATAATTAAAAATATATATCAACATGTGTCAAAATATGCCAGACTTTGAACATTAATATAATATATCTGACTCACTGTCGGGACTTACCGCTATCACTATACAACCTAATTTGGTATATAAACAGAACAAACAAATAAACTAACACCTGCTACTGACTATCGATGGAATAAAGGTTTGCTTGGAGAAGCATCATCGGGAGCTTGTGACTACTATCATCACATTAACTGCACATTAATACCCCGTAGTATATCTATATATATTCATCGTATTCTTCTGTCAGTCGTTCCTATTCTTCTTCTTTCTGAACTCTCTCCACGAGGCCCGCATGTCTCCTAGTGAGAGGCGCGTCTTTGTCGGTTCCTTGCACTTCTTGTTCCTGTCGTATTGTTTTGTTTCGTCTCCGCGGTACTCTACCCCCTCTCCTTCCCGGTACTCCTCCCCGGGTACATTAAAGTTATCCTTATCCTCGTAATATCCGCTGTGAGTGTACTCCGGCAGTTTCTCCAGCCGGTAGTCCGCTAGTTTGTGTCCGTCGAACATGACCGGCTCGGTGTCGGTGTATAGATCACCGTTGGTGTTCGCTTCGGTGTGTGTGGGGGACGATCGATTCACTGTGATACAGTCCGGAAAGTGTTCGGGATAGTCCACGTTGGAGAGGTAGTAGGGAGGGGAGGGGCGTAAGGTATATAAGAGGTCGGAGGTCGTGAGCGCGTCGCATTCTCCACGATGATACTGTCCAGGCCCGTCAGCTACCTCGCAGTCTGTATTAGGGTCTATGTGGGCATGTTCTATATATTTGTCCGTAGTGTAGTTCTCACCGGAGTCCCACTCCTGCTCGTGCTCCGTGTCAGGGTCGGAGGAGGAGGTGGCTGGTGAGGGTCCGCGCGGCACGCTGAATGTAGACGACTCGGGCAGCTTGTGGACTATCAGCTCCACCTGGGACAAACAGACAATCACTATCTAAGGATTTGCAAGTGAAAAAGCCAACCATACAAATACAGGGTGACTGGTGAATTACTATCGATACTTGAGGACGTGATATTTGACGATCATATATGACAAAACAAAAATTAATATAACATAAATATTAATAAACTTCTAAGTAAAGTTAACCAAAAGTTATGTAATTAATTACGCATCATGTGAACACCCTACAGATTAGGTATACACATACACACACTAACGCGTACTGCGGCGTGGTGTTGTATCAGCACGCCGCCGCACGCGTCCACACTTGGAACACTTGGAACGTGTCCACACTTTATTTATTTATACGGAAATTTCGTCAAAAATTAAGTACCAATTTTTTTTACATAATTCGAATTAGAATCATGTACCGAGTATGCTCCTTAAATATTGATAGTAATTCACCAGTCACCCTGTATATAAAGAAACTAAATTAATGACCATAAAACAATTATATATACAGGGTGACTGGTGAATTACTATCGATATTTGAGGACGTGATATTTGACGATCATATATGACAAAATAAAAATTAATATAACATAAATATTAATAAACTTCTAAGTAAAGTTAACCAAAAGTTATGTAATTAATTACGCATCGTATGAACACCCTACAGATTAGGTATACACACACACTCACACATACGCGCGCGGCGGCGTGTTGCTGTATCAGCACGCCGCCGGACGCGTCCACACTTGGAACACTTGGAACGTGTACACACTATTTATTTATACGGAAATTTGGTCAAAAATTAAGTACCTATTTTTTTTACATAATTCGAATGAGAATCATGTACCGAGTATGCTCCTTAAATATTGATAGTAATTCACCAGTCACCCTGTACACTTAATACATGCATTCTTGTCAGAAAAAATTTAAATAGCTCACTCCATACTAGCTTATCATTTACGATGCTAAAGACCACAACTAAACGTACACTGCGCTCGCGACGCGCTAGTTTCTTAGTTTTACCCAAGACTAGAACAAAACTGGGCAAAACAATGTTTACGTGAGGGCGCACAGTATTATAATAAATTGCCTATTTTGCAAGTACCTTACTTCAATAGCCTGTATTGTCAAATTACCATAGAAAGCAGTGTTATTATATATTTCTCTATCTTCTTCTACCTGGCAATTTCCTGGCTATAGCCAGGGTCTGAATTACGTGTTGTAAATAGTTTTGGCTAATTGTTTTTTACGACCGGCCGCCTGCCTGACATCAACCCTCTTTTGGGAATAATAACATATATTTCTCTATATATGTATGTTTATTTTAAACATCAATAGCTCACCTTAAAGTCAGCGCTGTACATCTTGTGTTGCTTGTCTTTGTGCGCGTCGTCCAACTGCCACTTGTCCAGCGTCAACTTGAATGTTTCCTGATTTTGACCTGAAATACAAATTGTATTTTCATAGTTTTCACATGTAGAAACATGTAAATTTATGTTTACTTAATTAACTAATCAAAAATATTAAAGTATCTATATATGATAGGGACAGTCTATTGATACATCTAAATCAGTGATTCCCAAAGTGGTCCAGGTGGACCCCCAGGGGTCCACGGGAGACTTGCTGGGGGTCTACGTAGGCGTGAACAAAAAATGGGGGTCCACGAAAATTTATCTGCTTTTGATAGTAAAGAGCAAAAATGTAAGCATAGTTTTTATAAGGGCCTACCTACATTGTTTTAAGTACCTAACTAAGCAGATAATATTTTAATAAGGCAAGCGACTGTTACTTGTCCAAACTTGCGTATTCGATATTACGTACAATTTCGTGTACAGACTTGCAAAGCGCTATCCGCCCGACAATGCTTAATGCTTGTTCAGACATGAACTTGATCACCACTATAAATACTTCATGCCAAAGGCAAACACTCATTCATTTGTTTCCAAAATTTCTAAAATTTTATTTTACCTATCGGAATATAGAGACAGAACTCAGAAGTGACACAATTTTTATTTTTTGGCGACTTTAAGAATGTGGTAGAAATGTAGCAGCAGGGGGTCCACCGAAACCAGTAAAATTTTGAAAGTGGTCCACGAGAAAAATAAGTTTGGGGACCACTGATCTAAATGATTTATTATATTACTAGCTTTTGCCAGCGACTTCATCCGCGTGGAATAGTAACTCCTTGATTATTGAATTGATCGCTCTACAGATTTATTATAAGTACAGGCGGTCCTCGACTTACGTCGTTTCGATTTACGTCGTTTCAAGTTACGTCGAACAATGTTTTGACACTATTCCTCAAGCATACGTCATTTGTTTCGATTTCCGGCATATCGGAGAATTCACTTGTCGCAAGGTCAATGTCCGTGAGGGGCGCTAACCGTTTGCCTGACATTGCAGTTACTACTGATGATATTGATGATCTGTTAAGCTCACATTCGCAAGAACTGACTGATGAAGATCTTATTGAATTGGAGGCACAAGTACAAAAGGAAGCACTCGAGTCACAAGAAATAGCTTCTTTTATTAGTGACTCTGAAAAAGAACTTACACTAAAAAAGCTTTCCGTAGCCTTTGCAAATTTGAAGAATGCCATGAAAAATTTTGAAGAAAATGATCCTAATTTTGAGAGAAGTTTTAACGTTAATAACAAAATTTATGCAGCCTATCACTGTTACCAAGATCTGTATGATAGCAAGAAGAAAGAAGCCAAGCAATCTAGAATTGATAGTTTCTTTAAGCCAAAAGTTTAATTTATTATTTATTATTTACATATGTATAAGTTTTATAATTATTATTAAAATTAATAACACACAAATACCAAAAATAACTAGCAATTTCATAAGTGCATAATATATAATTATTTTAAGAACTTACTTTTAATAATAAAGTACGTCCTTTGTTATAAATGCAGTTTTTTTTATTATTTCGATTCCGTGTGGAACCTAACCCTTGAGTTTTACATGTAAACATATGAAAAAATATGTCTCGACTTACGTCGTTTCGATTTACGTCGCGTATTTCAAGAACCTAACATGCCGTAAGTACGAGGACTGCCTGTATAGAAGATTATTTTTTTTTTTCTACACCGATTAACATGATTCTTTTATTCAATAGGTAATAATGTTAACTTTTTTAAATTAGGGATGAACGATAGTGTTGTAAACATTAGAGTAGACAAACACAATCAGAAATCTCCAAATTGCTAAGCTATCGGGAGTTTCACGTGTTATTCTGCGTCAACAATAAAAGATAGACATATGCCGTCGAGGAATACTTTTTATATAATTTTAAGGAGAATATTTCCGTCATACATGATTTCTATGTAACTTTAACCTATAATTAGCGTGCACACGCGACGGAAGCTTGAAAAATGGAATAACTTTTCCCATTTTCCCAATATTTCCCTTCACTGCTCTGCTCCTATTTATCGTAGTGTAATGAAAAGTATACTATAACCTGCCCAAGAGTATGAAGAATAATTGTGCCAAATTTCGTTGAAATCCGTCCAGTAGTTTTTGTTTCCATAACGAATATACAGACAGACTAAAATTTTACAGATTGCATTTTTGGCATCAGTAGCGATCCCTAACCACCCCCTGATAGGGAGCGTTCAAGTATTACGTAACGCAATTTTGGGGGAGGGGGGGGTCTCGTAAAACGTTACGATGCGTTACAGGGGCGGGAGGGGGTGTCTCTTATAAAACGTTACGTAGCATTGTTTCTAAAAAAATATATTAATAAAAACCCCCGAACTGGCAACTCTTTTCATATACGTTACATTATGTTGACCAGTTTGTATTAGTGTGGTCGATATTTTTATTTGTTATTCCAAGTTATTTTTTAAATATATTTTAGAATTGATCGCTCTACAGATTTATTATAAGTATAGATTGAAACTATAACATTTAGTAGTACTCCAAGGTGCGGTAGTATGTGATATGGACATTCTATCCATGCATCTAAATACTAAAGTATATTTAGTAGTTTAGCGTGCTACTGACTATCAATGGGCGCGGGCACGTTTGTTGCTCCTACGCCGGCAGTCACGAAGTACGTGTTGAACCAGAAGTGGAACAGCCTCTCCTTCCTCATCTTCATCTTGGGCTTGCAGTACACGTCCACGCGCACGTCCCCGGCCAGCGGCGCGCACGCGGACGCTACCACGCGCGCAACGGACTCGTGCCGACGAACTTCGTGGCTACCTAGAGAAGTCTGGGGAAACAATATTGGTTATAATCTTACTAATATTATAATTGCGAAAGTTTGTATGTGTATGTTTGTTACTTCTTCACGCTCAAACTGCTGAAGCGATTTTGATAAAATTCTGTATAAAGGAAGCTGACGTCCAGGAATAACACATAGGCTACTTTACATCCCGAAAATCCCAGAAATCCGCGTTTAACACCACGGGGCACAGCTAGTTATAATATAAACTCTACCCTACCAAATTTGAAACGAACCTACTAGGACTGCATTCGATGTACGTACGAATGAATTGATATTAGTTCTGCACGGGGAACAATCACTTAGTAGGTTATAGATAGATGTTTGGCTGTATCTTTCGTATTAACCTTCTCCATGTTAGAAGAACCTTTTTATCAGCAGTTAGCTGTGATAGGCTGATGATTAGTACGTGTGTGAGTGTATGTATGTATGTATGTATCTGTGTGTGTGTCTGTGGTCTGTGTCTGTCTGTGTGTCTCTCTCTGTATGTGTGTGTCATGTGTGTGTGTGTGTGTGCGTGTGTCATAGTGACCTTATGGAAGGGGTCAGCCTGCGTGACCGTCAGCTGCAGCGTGCACTGTGACCCGTTGAAGGCGGGCGGCGGGTACATGAGCAGCTCCCGCACGTGGACCCGCGTGGCGCGGTATGAGAGCCCGCCGCGGACCAGCGCCGCGTAGTACTCCACGTAGCGGCGCTGGGACGGGATCGTTACACCTGAGGACATACATACATACAACACATTAAACATATACATATTTATAATGATTTTTTTAATGTCAATGGTAGCAAACGAGCAGACGGCCTACTAGATGGGCAGTAGTGACCGTTGCTCATGGACATCCGCAACATAGATGTTACGGATGCGTTGCCAACCTTAATTGATGAGGAAAAGGGAGGGATGGGATAGGGAAATAGCAGGAAAGGGAGGGAATAGGAAAAAGGCAACCGGCTCTCTCACTCATCGAACGAAACGCAGCCATTAAAGGCTAGTTCACGCCGATCTTCTGTGAGAGGGTGGTACTTCCCCGGTCGAGCCAGCCCATGTTCGAGCTGTAGTAACTTGGCTACAGCTAGGCTCTAACACTTCAAAAAAAAATTGAGGTGGTTGATTGATTGAAATGATTTTAATAAAACTGCTGTTTTCATAGCAATTTGATGAGAAAATTATACAGACAAATGAAATGGAACATCTATCTGATTATGATAACAAATTGATGGGGAGAATCTAAAATTTAGATTTTAAATATTAGTGTCAAGAGCCTTGTTCTAGGTACTTTCCTAATTAAATCTAATTACTACCATATAAGACAAGTCATACGAAATAATCTTCACACACTGCATCGAACCTGCTACTAATCTGATTGTACTACTGTACAGTTCTCTGTATTATTCCATCTCAACCATAATGTCTATCCCTACTAATATGTATTATAAATGCGAAAGTAACTCTGTCTGTCTGTTACGCTTTCACGACTAAACCACTGAACTGATTTTAATGAAATATGGTACAGAGATAGTTGACCTTGAGAAAGAACATAGGATAGTTTTTATCCCAGAGTTTTTAAAAGTTCTCTTGGAAACGCGATATAACCGAACTCCACGCGGGCGAAGCTACAGGCGGAAAGCTAGTTGTCTTTATAGTTATATAACGTACGCTACCTTTTTCGTCGTGTGTGCGTTTGTTCCCATAGTATTTAAGAGCCTCATCCGCAGTCGTTTTCTGCCCGCTGTACAACAGGTAACAACACACCATTGTACCTGGAAATATTTAACAAGTATCTAAATTAATAAGATCTAAGATTTTCGCGAGTATTATTTATGTAAATGAAAAAAAAAATCGAATTATAGTACGCGACTTTTTTTTGTAATAAACTACATACTTTCATCTTTTCGGCCACATCTCGTCTTAATAATCAATTTGCTGTAAAGTGGGCGAAACGTCGGGTGTATGTAGTTTTTTTACAAAAATAAAATCACGTAGTAGAGTCCGAAAAATATTAGTTTAATTTAAAAGTATTTAAATTAAATAATATTTTTATATTATCATACAAATGATATAATAATTAAATACATTTATAATAAACATTTAATTGATACCGTCATTACTTATCTCCTGAACCAACACGTAATGGTATTAGTTGAAGTCGAGAGATATTGTAGTGGAACTATTTGTATTATATATCAATATATAAAAGGATTATTATTTATATTCGATATTCTTAGTATATGTATAATATACCATATATGAATAATAATATTAAACTTTTATTAAACTTTTTTTTACTATTGTACATTACGTATATACATCCTGGTATATATGAAAAAATACAAAAGAAACACGTAAATAAAAACCGGTAACAAAAAAAACGTAAAATAACCCTCTTCATTGGAACATACCTCAATATCGTAGGACGTTACCGCAATTTTTTTATAACTTATTTTGGGTGACCGCAAAAAATAAACGCAAAAAAAAAGGGATCCCAAAGCAAATTTACGACGCCCCGCGAAAACCGACGCCGACGATACGACCAATTACAGGTCGTAAAGAAATTTCGTAATTACAGAAACCCGAAAAATACGAATGGCCGGGACGCATTATGTTTGCATCACAATAGGAACAATTTAAGTTATAAACTACGTATGTAATTTGTTGGCTGGAGCCTTTGTTGGGCTGCCCTGCGAACTATTATACGGAATGCGAGAACCCATTCCGCCGCCGCACATATATATTATAGGAATTCGTGTAATTCGTACGCTGTGCGGCCTTTAAATGTGGCTCTTTGTATATGTTAATATATAGCCCTATATAAATTATGCCTCGTTTCAGCATGTTTTTTTAACGATTTCATAAAAATATATACAGCCAACTTATGGATATATAATCAACATTAAGTAATACTACCCTATACTTACAACCATAATTCCGCATTACAATGGTGGAAACGCCTATGAAACATAGGATCTTCTGTGTACTAATGAAATTAATTTCAATAAAATATATTCTAACGATTTATAAGTCTTTATTTATTCCGAAATTAAACAGAGTCTCAAGGGGAAAATTATGACCAAACACATCAGTAGTGCCATCTATTTAGGTAATTTTTTAAGCATTCAAATATACGCGGGTAAACTCGAGAACAGAAACGTGTGTGTGTGTGACTGTGTGTGTGTGTGTGTAGTAGACCAGTCAAACCCTCACCGGTCCTCCCCTTGCCAGCCTTGCAGTGCACGGCGGCCACGTTCCTCGGGTCCTTGCTGAGCCAGTTGTGGACGTCCTCACAGAACGGCTGGATCTGACCGATCTTCGGCGGCTCGTGATCCTTGAACGCGAACACTTGCACCTGGAAATGTTCACACCGGATCATGATTATGGGGTAGCAGCTGGGTTTGATGATCACTTTACTATATTAAGTGGCTTGATCTATGGAAACCATAACTTTTGTATGAAACGCCTTTAGTATAATGTTTCACTTTTTGCGTAATATTGGAGATAAACAATTTATAAAAAATTAAATACACTATCATGATTCATGAGATACAGCCTGGTAACAAACAGACAGACAAAGTCTTCTCGTTAGTAAACTCCGGTTTGATTCTTAGAACACTGAACCCTAACAAAGTATTACTACATTTTAATTACATACGAAAAATGCATTATTTGTTAACTTCGAAGTAATTTTTAGACTAAAAAAATATCTCACGCAATAAATGATGTTAGAAACTTTGATTCAAAGTTTTATATTCTTCATTGAAACAATAGCAGTTAATTGTAGGTACATACTGATAGAATACATTTTATGAATTAAATAATATCAATTAAACGAATGACAGACAGACAGACAGGCATCATTTCTCCTGTCTGCTGGCGAGTGGCGAGTTATTTGACAATCACAAATACACCGGTAGCCAAATACATGGTGGGGTGCATTGACCTCTATACGTGGGCGTCTCCATTAAAACTCAACAAATAATAAATAGTTATGGGTCTGGTTGTGGCTCATGGCTTGTGGCTAGTTGCTAGTGGCGTCCCACGGTCGTGGGTATTGTAAATATTTTAAACAAATTTCGTGCTCAACATAATTTCTAATTGCTTGTAAATAAAACCGGAACGATTCATAATAATTTCCATGGCTCGGTCGATTGATGACGTCATTTACAGGCGACGACACGATCACGATCGTCATACGACGGGTTCACGACATTTGACACACGCGGAAAATTTAATGTGTAATACCTATACATTTACCTTTCTATAACACTGTATAAAACCCATGTACAGTGTATTTAATATTATTTCTATTTATTTGGTAACATCACAATGGTTACTTATACCTACATAATATACCTACATTATAGTGTAAGGGCACATCAATTGCTCTCGCCGCCTCTATAGGGCTTCAGAGATTGATTGAGCTAAGCTTTTCAGTGTTCAATATGATTACAATAACATTATATATCATATATATACACGTATTTATTAACCAAGATATCTGAATCACTATACGCGTGGAGAAATGGCATATTTTGCTTTTTGTTTTTATTTATTTATTTATAAGAACAACTTACAAAACATACACCATTTATAGGTTTTAAAATAAAGGTAATTAATTACATTTTTAGCTAAGAGTTGTTTCAATTAAAAGTTATCATGGAAAAGGACAGTATTTTCTATTAACCTAACACAACTTTTTTTTTCTACTTCTATTATACAAAAGGGGAAACAAAAAAATACTACCAATAATAATACAATATAAAACAACAAACATACATACAAAACTATTATCAATTTTAACATATATTTAAAAATAAAAAATTATTACTGTCTCGAACTGCATGAAATTAATTAATTAATATTCACATCTAATATTTATATACATATACATATGAATCAATACCATTACTAGTACTCGACATATTATCAAGAACACAATCCAAGCATACAATGTACTACAAAGTAGTGTTCAATGACACTACAGAATAAGATATGTAGTAGTCCGTAAAACAATATAATATATCAAATGTATAAGTGTTTTAAGACGTACTTATAACACTAGCTTGATACTGCAGCTTCGCCTGCATCTTATCAATATGGTTTAAGCAGATCTTAAACAAATTATTCGAACCCAAAATCTCCCAATTATAATTTTTTCCAAGACGTGACCCTAATACATACTATGGTTAAAATTTAACTCAAACAGTACTTATTTTAATCGTTGAAGTCAAATGTATTGCGAATTTAATTCAATAGTTCCTTTACTATACCACATATTTGTAGTCGAAAATCATTGAATTTAAATTACTATTAACAACATATGTACACTTAGTATAAGTATGCGTAAATACAAGTTACGGCGCGTTTCCAGTTACTCATTTATTACCCTACAGTAATGTGTTATGGTTTAAAAATGAACAACTGTTAACGCTACGTATGTAGTGACCACTGAATATGCGAGCGTGTGGTAGTCAGCGGTAATCGTTATCACATAAACGGGTGTGATAACAGTGCGGTCAGCTCGATGTAGACAACATCTCAGACGTTTAATAAAATACTGCCGGTGTTACTTTGCATGATGTAATGGAAACACACACATACATACATATACACACACACGCATATATATAAATATATATAACTTAATCGTTCCATAAGACATGTCATCAGCCTATCAGAGCCCACTGCTGAGCAAAGGCCTCTTTCTCACATGGAGAAGGTTTTGAGCGTTAATCACCACGCTTGCTCAAGACGGGTTGGTGATTTCAAACTTATAATTGTGAAACTATAAGTCCAGGTTTCCTCACGATGTTTTCCTTCACCGTATGTCAGTGGTGTCTAAATACTCTCAGAAAGTACATACGACTCCGAAAAATCACATTGGTACTTGCCAGGTTTGAACCCGCGCCCTTTCTTTCCATGATGAGAGGCGATCATTCCATCATCAGGCACGCGTCAGTAACATGATACAAAAATAAAACCAGCGAAAATAATCGATCCAACCGGAACAATAACAAACGAATAAAAATAGCTTTAATTAAACTTATACTATATTGAATTAAATATATGCCTCAACGAAGCATTAGGCATATATATTATAGTAATATTTCATCTACATTGCACGAACTTTTTTCACGCTTAGTAATTATATGACATTCTATATAAAAATATCACTAACTAGCTTCCGCCAGCAGCATCGCCCGCGTGGAGTTCGGTCATATCGCGTTTCCAAGAGAACCTTTCAAAAGTCTGGGATAAAAACTATCCTATGTTCTTTCTCAAGGTCAACTCCATCTCTGTACCAAATTTCATTAAAATCAGTTGAGTGGTTTAGGCGTGAAAGCGTAACAAACAGACAGACAGACACAGTGATTTTCGCATTTATAATATTAGTAGGGATCAGACGAAAGTGATGTCCTCTAGAGGCTCAAAATAACACCAACTTCAACTTCAAGACACATCTCAAACAGACACACAGACATAATGTATCAATTAATTTGATAGATACATTGTATACATTTAAATTAAACAATTAACAGACAGACAAGGAAAACTTGTTTTATTATATATTAGCATAATAAACACATAATGCTCAGAGGCTACACGACACGAGGATACAATTATTTAACTTATTCTAGTAATCAATAACAAAGCTACTGGAACGTATTAAATACAATATATGTATATATATACATATATAGATAACATTGTATATAATGGACGTCTGTGAGTACGTCTGGATTAGAAACGATACGGCTGGAACAGATTTGATGAAATTCTGTTTACAATAACATTTAAATGAGTATTGCGATAATCATACGTATTTGATATAAATCATACACAAGGCAGGTAGAAGCAAATTCTTGCTGTAGTGTTCCGAACAGGAGACTGTTTTGATGGTAAGTTGTTTCAAACATTTAAATTTACTTTTTAACACTTGCTCTATATGATATATTTTTTTATGCTAAAGGTGACAACGGAGCAGACGGCCTACCTGATTGAGATAGTACCGTCGCCCATGAACATCCGCAACATAGATTTGCGAATGTGTTGCCACTAGCCACCCTTGATTGGGGAATAAGGGGAAAAGGTGAGAAAGGGGGGGAAAAGGTGTGAAAGGGAGGGAAAAGGCACCCGGCTCTCTCATTCATCGGACGAAACGAATTCATTATAGTACTACTATACACTACTTCATGTCGATCTTCTGTGAGAGGGTGGTACTTCCTCAGACGAGTCAGACCGTATTCGAACTGTAGTAATATGACCACAGCTAGGCTTTACCATCTAAAAAATGGTAATGAGTGGTGACTGGCAATCTCACTCATTACATTCATGTGATGCAATCTAATTCAGATCTGACGATTTTTCCTCACGTTTCCGACATTATACGAGCAAAATAATAATATTTGATAATGACATTATAGTTGTTTATATATTTTTATCTTTATAATAACTTAGTTTACTTATTCAAGATTCCCGATTAAGAATCCTCTTAACATCCATCTTACATAATTTTGTTTATAAACAAGAAACGTAGCATATATGTATATGCACATGCATATATATATATATATATATATATATATATATATATATATATATATATATATATATATGTATATATACAAGGTCTCAAAATAAACATATGGATAAGTCACGTATATAAAAAGCTACATACATATATATGCCAGCTTATATCTAGCTATTCCACGAGTTTCTAGCGTGCGAAAAAAATATATATACTTAATAAATAAAAAAACAACCTTCTATTAAACAAAAGTCAATAACAATTATATGTAGTTGGAACGCATTTAATTTGAAACCGTTACAATAACTACATTGTCACATGGCGTTATAAGACGTAAAAAAAAAGAGAAAAATATATATAACATACAGTAATCAGATGACGCAACATACAAATACTATTACATTCATATAAACCGTAATAAAATATAAATCGATCTACGATGAAGCTGTGTGGATATCGGTACTGATTAAGACACTATTAACCCTTAACCACCTACCTCCCGTCTCACAGACGGAAGCTATTTTAAAGTCGTAAATATTTTGCTGTGTATGCGTCTTATGAACCTGTGCTTTCCTGTACCTTTCCCCCGCACCGATCAGTGTTGCGCAAGCACTTATCGAGGTCGGAGATGCGCGCCATTTTTTCCTGGTAAGTAAAAATCTATCTTCGAGTGTCTCAGAGACGGATGGTAGGTGTTTGTGTGACATTTTTTTTTTATTTTCTTAAGGTGAAAATGGTTTTAAACGATTCCATTATTGAACGCTGGTTAGAAGATAACATATCGGATGAAGAAAATATACCGAACGATGAGTGTAGCGATGACGACACTGAAATTGGAGTACAATAGTACTGGAATAATGCAGAGGATCGTGTTCTGAAATTGAAGCCGAGGAAGAAACTACTTTACAAGCAGGTATGGTACCTCTTTCATCCCACAATGTGCTTGACGAATCACAGAGTTCATCTGAAGATGAAGTGCCATTATCCGAAATACGGTAAAGACTGAGAAAAACAAATTATTTTGGTAAAAACCGGTACAGTTGGTCATCAGCTCCCCAGGATTCTAGTTCTAGAACACTACAACATAATATTGTACAAGAAACATAATATTGTAGACTAGCTAAACAGCTTACAACACGTCATAGCGCCGCGAGTGAAATGTGAATCTCCAGCGTGATATCAAAATTTCACTTCGACGTATCCTTCACTATGACGAGGTAACCAGTCAACCAGCAGTGATTTCTAGTACCAAACGTGGTGAAGAAGTAGTCACGATACGAAAAAAATGCTCAACTTGTGATCCTAAAAAGAAACGCAGGACCCAGTACATGTGTTTCGAATGTAAGAGACCAATCTGCCTCGAGTGCTCGAACATGCTGTGCATTGACTGCCGTGAAAAGCTGTAGGTTTAGAGTCTGCAATTTTGTTTATTTTTTTATTTTTTCTCTCTAAATGTCTCATGTCTATATTTAGTAAATGTTAAAAGATAAGAAAAGTTTATTTTGAAGTTCCTATTTACATTTATTTTTATATTTCTAAAAACGTAAGTTTAGTCAACGTAAGTAAGGCTTAAAAATGCCAAAGTATAAGTGTTGTTCATTTTAGTTGAGTTTATAGTAGGTATAGTTGATCACTTTATGTTTATTTTCTTTTAATAAAACATTCAAATGCGTAAAAAAAAATATTTCATTCTAACTGGACTCCTAATTTACAAAAATCTTTGATTTAGAGTACAGGTGTCTCCCAGACGGGAGGTAGGTGATTGTGTAATAAAATTTGTAGGTAGGTGGCTAAGGGTTAACATTAAAACTCATTAAATATATAAGACAGGCGATAATTTAATTTTATTATATCAAAGCATCTCAATATACATATATTGTTAGAAATAACTTAGGCAGTCTAACACTTGCATCCTATTTACAAAATTCAAAGGTAACATAATATTTAGGTGAGAGTAAGTTATAATATCATACTGAGGGTGCTAGTTACCCTCATAGAGTTTCCATTAAATAATAAGAACACTTAACATTATGTAAAACATGCTATGGCTCTAATTATAAATTGTTAAACCTATGGTTAAGTATTTGGACATTCAAATTACTGTACAGAAATATTATTATCAATCCCTATGTACTAATATTATAAATGCGAAAGTAACTCTGTCTGTCTGTCTGTTACGTTTTCACGCCTAAACTAATGAACTGATTTTAATGAAACTTGGTACAGATAGAGTTGACCTTGAGAAAGAACATAGAATAGTTTGTATCCCAGATTTTTGAAAGGTTCTCTTGGAAACGCGATATAACCGAACTCCACGCGGGCGAAGCTGCGGGCGGAAGGCTAGTATATACATAAAGTATATACATATATATATATATATATACAGGGTGACTGGTGAATTACTATCAATATTTAAGGAGAATGCTCGGTACATGATTCTCATTCGAATTATGTAAAAAAAATAGGTACTAAATATTTGACAAAATTTCCGTATAAATAAATAAAGTGTTGACACGTTCCAAGTGTTCCAAGTGTGGACGCGTACGGCGGCGTGCTGATACAACACAACGCCGCCGCACTCGTATGTGTGAGTGTGTGTGTATACCTAATCTGTAGGGTGTTCATACGATGCGTAATTAATTACATAACTTTTGGTTAACTTTACTTAGAAGTTTATTAATATTTATGTTATATTAATTTTTATTTTGTCATATATGATCGTCACAAATCACGTCCTCAAATATCGATAGTAATTCACCAGTCACCCTATATATATATATATATATATATATATATATATATATATATATATATATATATATATATATATATATATATATATATATATATATATATATATATATATATATATATATATATATATATATATATATATATATATATATATATATATATATATATATATATATATAAAGCGTGTAAAGTTAATAGTTTAATACGTCCAAGGATTCCATCCTTTAACTGGCAGACCTCGTGTGACGCCCCTGAACAAGGCCGGCCGTCCACTACAGCCGACAAACCAATACACTAACTTAATTTAAATATTAACATTATTATCATTTTCATATATATAGTAATATATACACGCGACTTTGCTTACGAGTTACATTAAAGCTAATCGTTGTATAATTTGATAATAGTTGAGAGATTGATAATTGTTACTAATTTTATTATTTAAATTTGATTATTATGTATATAGAATTTAATTCGAGATTCATTAATAATTTTACAATTGAATAACTATTAAAACGTACACCTTAGTACGATCCTACATAATTAAAACGTACACGGACGGTTTCAAGGTATTTTATTACTATCAAACACACACGTATAGCCGATGACTTAAATATCAAAGTTACGAGTGATAATCGAGCTAAAAGATTAAACTAAGAAAAATAACAATAATATACGAAATAATCATAATTCTATTTTTTTTCGTCAATCTTTATAATATTAAAATAACTTATTTTTAAAGATTATTAACTAGTTTCATATAAAAGTATAAGCTATACAAATACCAAGACTTTGTTATTTACAATTTAAATCTATCTGTCTGTTTGTATCGACTTTTCTCTGAAATCTCCGAAACTCACATACTGACGAGATTTTTACTGGAAGATAGCCCTTAAAATGAATTGCAACGTAAGCTACTCTCTCAGTAATCGTTTTTTAAATTCTAATACCAAATAATCATTAAAAAAAATACGAACAGACGAAGTCACGGGGCAGGGATAGTGTAAATTCGAATATCATATCGTAACGGAAACAACTTTAACGCGAAGAACAAAACGAATCGTGTAATAACAATAATAATACTTATGAAGTATTTAGTTTTGCTTACATAATTTACATAGTTACAATGGCATGGAGCCAGCCACTCACCCTCTTGTTGAACTTGGTGTAGTCGTACTCTCTCTCTGCACACAGGTTGTATATCATGTAGTGATCCTTGTGCTTCTGTTCCAGGAAGCGGTATACTTCATCTATGTGGTTCCTGTAAACACCTTCTAGCTTCTCAGCGGGGAACCCCATAGCTATTAACCTGTCTGTTATATCTGATTGTGCGGTTCAGGAAATTTATGCACACATATTGTAATAATAAATATATAATAAAAGTTTTGTTGCGTTAGTATATTTGTATATAAAAAAAGGAATTCTATAGTCCTAGAAATACTTCTATCAAGTCCTATATTAAAATTATAGACCTAATTAACCTTTCATTAAAGTGAATCTTCTGGAACCGTTATCTGATTTTTCCATCAAATACTCTGACAATATCTCAGTATCATCACACATACAACAAATGTTCTTTACATTTAACATATAATTTTAATATATATAATAAAGGAATTAACTAGTATCAAGAAAATCTCATTTCCCTCAATAATTAAGCCGTACACTTACTATTTTCAAATATATAAAAAAACTTAAATAAATCTAACAAAAAAAACCTTCATTATTGCCTAACCACATTATTGTAAATCATCTTTAATTTAAATATAACTTATTTATTATATTTCTAACAAGAAAATATTTTACAATATATATTTTTTGTACAATTACTTATTGTAATTTGATTTTAATAATAAAGACACAATGATGAGAGAAACCTTATTACCTCTTGTAACAAAAAATCTGAATGATATCAAAGTATCTAAATTAATTTGAATATTTTAAATCTTTAATGTAATGTGGAGTAATATTATTTATAATAATTATAGAAACATATTTGTATTGTGTTATATATTAAACACATTATATATTAGTTAAATACTATAATATATAGATGCATTAAAAGGAAATTTGTTTGGAAAACCGAAAGGTATTATGTATTTAAAAAACTCTAAAGATGTATATATACACATGTGTGTGTGTGTGTGTGTGTGTGTGTGTGTGTGTGTGTGTGATATTATGTTTATATATAAGACCAATGAATATGTTATTAGTTATATACATGTGATAAAAAATAATCTGAATTTTAATATATTCAAGATATTAACTTGAATACATTTTATTTTATTAGAAACGGATATAGTTATTAACAGTTTCATACATAAATAGAAATCAAAATGTTTTTTTATATTTATAATTATTCATTATGGGAAACAGAATCATTGAATAAATATATTGTATTAAACTATGGATATAAAATTTAGTCTCTGTCTCTTCATTAGTCTGTGTAGGATAATAATATTAGGTTATTGATTTTGAAATGTAAATTTTGAAATTCTTCATATGTGTGTGTGTTACAGAGACAACATGATATTGTTTTATTAAGCTGGAAGGGGTTGTTATTTTTGCCATTAAGTCTACATACTCTAGTTCAGACTAAAATATAACATTTAATTCAGATAATTTATTATCAAATTATATATCAATATTAATGTAATGATTTATTAATTGGTTTTCCAATTTAATTAATTTCTTTTCCACTGTTTGTAAGGAGTCAGAGCATTTGTATTTTATATTTAGTCAAACATTGTAAATTCTTACACAAAGTCACAATTTTTAATGTATTTCTTTTTACATATGTTTATATCTCTCCTACAAACTCTATTATACATTATGTATGTATGAATGTTTGTTAAGCTTAACTCAAAAACCGCTTAGAATGTAGATTAGAAGTCTGAATAATATATGAGCTATACTGTTTCAGTTACTGTAATAAAATTTGGTCATATTAAATATTTTGTAAATTCTTTTTTTAGACTTCTTAATTTAAGTCTCAGAAAAAATGGACATTCATAATTAAAAAATGCTAATAGATAGATATAAAAAATGCACCGGACGTCGCGAGAAAGTCCTTAAATTTATTTCTTATAAAATTAATACAAAAAAAGTTTTAAAATCAACCAAAATAAAGGAAAGTATAGAATTACATAGAACTCGTCTTAGATCACCCGAGACGTGTGTCCGCGGCTGATTTGAATAATTTTTATTAGAGATATTCAATTTCACAACAGACGGCGTTAGCATAGAAATTGTTATATATTACGTAAACCCTCCACCTCTACGGAATGCGACGTACGTACGAGATACGATAGAACAAAATACTATGTATCCAAAAATTTTACTTCGTCGGGGATAGTGCAAAACACAATCACTGTAATTTTTTCACAATTAATAATTATTTAGTGTTTAATTTATTGATTACTAGCTTTCCGCCCGCAGCTTCGCCTGCGTGGACTTCGGTCATATCGCGTTTCCAAGAGAAAATTTCAAAAGTATGGGATAAAAATTATCCTATATTCTTTCTCAAGGTCAACTCTATCTCTGTACCAAATTTCATTAAAATCAGTTTAAGTGGTTTAGGCGTGAAAGCGTAACACACAGACAGACAGAGTTACTTTCGCATCTATAATATTAGTAGGGATTGTAAAAAAAATACATAAGAATTCGTTAATTTAGATAATATTTCAGCCTAAACCTTCTTCTGATATTCTGCTTCCAATGTAGATACGCGGAATTATCCAATGCTAGTTACGCGGATTTGCACTATCCCCGACGATATGCGGAAAACGAATAAAGAAGTATATAAAGAATACAAGATAAGAAAAATATGTATTACCGCTTTTTTCTCTGCCTTCGGTTAAAAGATTAACATCATAAGAATATTATAATAAATTAATTACGTAAACAGAATTTGGACATCGCTTAAATTTTATATCATAATATACCATATAAATATATATCATATAAGACAAGACAAATAATAAAATTATAATTATGTAAAGTTACAAAATACGAGGAAAAAATCTACTACCTGTAGGAAGTTTATAAATTCGGGAGCATATGCATACAGATATGAAAAACAAAAAATATATTTATGAGTGTGTGTGTGTGTGTGTGTGCGTGCGTGCGTATGTGTGTATGTATCTTCTTCGTCTACCTTCTAATTTCCCATCTTCAGCCAGGGTCTACAATACATGTTGTGAATAGTTTTGGCTAATTGTTTTTACGACCGGCCGCCTGCCTGACATCAACCCTCTTTGGGAATGCATCAATCAGTGATGTCTAAATACTCTTCGAAAGAACATATGACTCGGAAAAATTAGTATTTGCCAGGGTCAGGAATACATACTTATGTATGTGTGTGTGTGTGTGTGTGTGTATGTTTTTTTTAAGAGGAACACTGTTATCCCTAATAGCTTTGACAGTGTCCCCGGATATGTGTGTGTGTTTGTGTATAGTATTGTAGTCAATACACTATGTATCGTCTAATCTAAGCAGTGCTGTCCCTACTAAGTGTAGTGTTAAATCATTTGAATAACAATCATATATATTACGCAACAAACAGTTCTCAAATGTGGCGTGGTTACAATTAAGCAGTTTGGAGTATTAAGTTGGGATTTGTAACCGCAGAATGGACGGTTGAAACGCTTTCGGCGGTCAAATCGACTTATACATATATGTATATTATTAATTTAACACGTGAGTATATTTGTTAGTCTTTAGCACATATATAAATAAATAAGTAAATTAAGAAATTATTTTGGATGAAATGATTTAACACAGGCGATATAATATTTCAAATGACGATATTTTTCATTCATTACACTAGAAATTATTTAAGAATATTTTTTTAATTACTCTAAACACAGCTAAAGATTCCACACGGGAACAGTCGCGGGCAGAAGCTCGTTTAAGAGATTTGTATATAAAAAAAATACTGCTAAAACAAGCTGTTTATTAAAACTATATTCTACTACGTCTTCGAAATGAAAATCTATTATTTTAATATAATATTTTTCACTCTCCAAGTAAAAAAAACGATGCCAACGAATGGACATACCCTTATATTCATCTTAATAAATATATAACCAATCTATATATAATATATAAACATATAGTTGTCCAACGAGCGATACTTTCACCTATATTATTATCCAAACAAAGAAATAATTTTATCAAATGTCAAAGATGCTGCTAAGTGTTAACCCACATATGATATCTCGACGATAAAAAAATCTACGTCCTGATACAAAACCTACATAAATAAAAAACCTTTCTACGCATTTCTTTAAGCCTATCAGAGCCCACTGCTGAGCAAAGGCCTCTTCTCACGTGGAGAAGGTTTGAGCATTAATTACCACGCCTGCTCAAGACGGGTTGGTGATTTCAAACTTATAATTGTGAAATTATAAGTCCAGGTTACGCTTTTAATATATAAAGAAAATGATAAATAGCAGACAGATTAACAAATTGCAGAATACGATTAAAGAAAGGAAACGCTGACTAATATCTTGAATAAATCATTTTCATATATAATAATGTTATGTTGTAAGCCAATATATGAAACGTAGCTTACAAAATATAGTGACTAACACGACCTACATATAAACTTTATAATATTGAAATAATTTTTCATATTAAAAATAAATATGATAAGCATATAAAACTTTAATTATTTTAAAATTTATACTTTGGATTTCTTAATAGAAATATTTAATTAAATAATAATATTTGTTTTACAACAGATTTGCATGTAAAACTATAAAAAGAGATTAATTTTTCATTCATAAATCATACCACATTATAGTATTGAAGTAGATAATTAGATGAGAAACGGGAAACGTTTCGTTTGTAGTGTAACGCAAACGAACTAAATCTGAACTGTAATAAAAATGTAGTTTTTTTTCATATAAAAGATAATATTATTTCATTGTTATAAGTATTAAATAAATCCCCTCTATGGTCCAGTGTAACCTGTTATCATTACGAGCTTCATAATATTTAATCCTGTTTTGGTATTCTCTGTCATATTTTATTTATATTGTGTCGTACAAAAATAAACAACAAAATGCATTATCGACTCGTGACATATAAACAACGGCCTTACGAAAATTGATAAAAATAATATCATAACGCTGCCGAAAATATCTTGAATATCTATATACTACATATATAAATACATAAAGGAATTATGTACATAATACTTATGTATATTTTTAGAAGTTAAACATTTCATAAAAGATTATGCTTTAGATAATAAAACCTATCAAATTCAGGCAAATCAATGGTTCAACAGCCAACCGCAGATTAACGCTTCACGCTA